ATCCAGCAATGAAAAATGCTGGACAAGGCGTCGCAGCTCACGTGAATTCCAAGCAGACCGACCCCAGCCAGGACCTTGTACATCGCATCGCGTATTTAGCACACAGTTGAAGTCTCCAGTTAGAATTACATGACGACCGTCTAGGAAAAAAACATCCAAATTTTGAAAAAAAAATTGACTAGCCACCGTTACAGTGACAACCATAGCAATCGCTTATTCTCGGAATGTCAGAACTTTTCAAATATTTTAGGTATGCACCTTTGCCGCACAAGCACGCGTTCATTTCGGTTAAGCTTTCAGTCTGAAAACTTTACTTGTTAGCAAATTTCATCAAAAATTCTGATTTCTCTGCTGAGCCAACAAAAAACGACGAACTTTTAATTAATAATGTGTTTGTTATTTCTGTTGTGAGCGAAAAAGTGCTCATGGTTCTAACGGAAATCGTGAGTCATTACCCTGTTGCACAGGTGAATGCCAGGCACGCAACAGTAAGGGGGGGGGGAGCACATATTTATGACTAGGTTGTAACCGGCTATAAGTTGTAAAATAAAAAGCACCTTTGTCAGCACACTTAGGCCCATCTGCTTAGCATCTTGGATAGGCAAATTGATGGGACACGCTTTCCTGGCTAGACTGACAAATAACCTCGAAGACAATGATTTTTTCCTCAAACCATGATTGGCTTCCGCGGGCATCTTTCAACGTAGGATGCCATATGCAGCTTAAGCATCAAATCACAGGCTGTAAAGGACGCTCCACTAAGGGCATACTTGGTCTAGATCTCAAGAAGGCTTTTTACGATGTCACGCAAAGCACCACTTCAAATGAGCTCAATACCCTAAACTCGGGGATTTGCACGTACAACTATGTAAGAGCATTTTGTATGGGCAGAACGGCCACGATCAGTGTGGGAGCACTGAGGTTGTCTGAAATAACTATGGAAAGCGCGGGCACCCACATGGTTTCATGATTTCTCCCTTGTTGTTTAACCTTCCTTGGTCTTCCTTCAAAACTACAAACCATTCAAGGACTTTATCACACTATTTACATCGATGACATCACCCTCTGGGTGTGCGACGGCAATGACGGTTCCATTGAACAGATATGACAGGAGGGGATTGACAGAGTGGAACAGTATCTACAAGGAACTGGCTCGGCGGAGAAATTTGAGCTACTGCTATATCGCCCTAAAATTACAGGTCGCCCACCCAAACAACATCCCCAAGCGCAGGCACACGCCGATATAAAACTCACTACAAGCGACAGTCACGCCATACCAATACGAGTGCTAGGTCTGATCATAAAAAAAAGGGTACCAACGGAGAGACAGTTCGCAACATTGAAGCCAGAGTGTCTAACACGATGCGCCTTATTAGACGCATTACCAATAAACACAAAGGCGTGAAAGAGGCAAGCATCATCCATTTGGTTCAATCATTCGTTCTAAGTCGCATCACCTATACATCAGCGTACCACCGATGGTTCACTGCAGAAAAGTCAAAACTCGACAGCCTAATTAAGAGAATCGACAAACAAGCGCTATGCTAGCCTCAAAACACCAGCACTGAACTCCTCTTTCAACTTGGTTTACACCATACTCTTGAGGAACTTATTGAGGCGCAATAAATCTTCCGATTCGAGCGAATAACCAAGACTAAGCCAGGCCGCCAGATTCTATGTAATCGCGGTATTTCTCACCACATTCAACACGGAGACAAACACGACATACAACACACTATCCGTGTCAAGCTCACAGTACCATCCATACCAAGAAACACGCACCCTGAACACAACAAGGGCAGGCGTGTCAGTATAGCCAGAGCCATGTCTAAGATGTTTGGGCGCAACCATGAGGCAGTCTTTGTCGACGCAGCACGCTACCAAGAACGTCACCGCTTCGTGGCTGCTGTCGTATAGTGCATATACTACAAGGCAAAAGCATGGGTCATTCATCACACGAAACATAGAAATGGCAGAGGAAGTGGCTATCACGATAGTCATAGCCCACACTAACGCCTCGTGTGTGATCAGAGACACGCAGACAGCCGTTTGAAACTGCGCCAGCGAATCTCCCCCGAGGCATTGCGGATTCTTAGAACAGGCAAAATTTACGAGGCGGACAAACATGTGCACCTCCTGTGGTTCCCTATACCCACACCGCTAGGTAACCCGGAGGACAGTTCGAATTAAGTGGCGCACAACGTGGCTCGAGGTCTTACGTTTTGAGTCACGTCAGACGAAGAGGCCACCCAAACGGACTTTTTAGCGCTGGTATGGGAACGGGACAATCGGCTCACTAAACTTAATGACATAACACTACCGACTGCAAAGGTGGGAGTACCCTCCGCCTCATCCCAAACTAAATCGGGCCCAGTCCGTTCAGTGGTGGCAGCTACAAACACGCACATACACGAACACCGTCATCATGCACCACTTAAATCCCGACGTCTATAGTTCTAATATATGCCAGTACATTACCACCAGAGCCACTCTTGACCATATCCTATCGGAATGTCCAGCATTAGTCAGAAATCTTAGGGTCGCGGCCTCCAATGAAGATCTTCGGGCGCATTGCGGACTGCGCTGCTCAGTTCAGGCCTAGACAAGCAACTTTGGGCTATGCAGGCCAAGGAAGCGACCGGGAGACACGGTCTCTCCGTTGGCCCCTAGGTGGGAGCCCATCCCAGCAATCTGGCCTCTCCGTTGGCCCCTAGGTTGTTATTTGGTGGGAGCCCATTCCAAGGTGGGAGCCCATCCCAGCGTCACAGGGCGTCAGCGCGAGGCCTTTTGATGCGACGCCGCATCCTCTCTCTTTAGAATGAGCGCATTTCTACGTGAAGCCACGCGCTTTTATAACTGCACAGGAGAGGGCTCGATGGTGCGTCAAAAAGACACTCGCCGACGCGCTGCGACAGATACGTGGGGCCAGGTCTTAACGGGTAAGCGATGAGGCACGCCCCAGGCACCACCGCAAAAGATATATGAAGAACTTTCTCATTAGCATAATTTCACAGTTGTCGCAGTAAACAAAACATGTTCTAGTGAAGTGCGTTGTTAAGGAACGGAACGTCACTGCGTGATCAACACTCAGTACGTAATGTGATACTTTATTTCTTGCCACTAGCCTTAGTTTTTCATGGTGGTTAATGTAAGGCCATAGTCTAGCTATTTCACGGGGCGAAAAAAGCTTCACATGCTATCCGCACCTTCGAAGAAACACTAGCTTAAAATGCGGAATATTCGAGAAAACTAAAACTGTATGCAGATTCCTCCGACTAAATTGAAGCTAAAGAGACGGCGTACTTCAGGAAAAAGAAGATAGTTACCCCAATACCAATGCCATGTCAGGAGCAAAAATATTGAGTAATATTTCTTGTGATGTTTCAAAGGCCTGCATTCGTTACGCGCCTCCATATTCCACAGAGGTGCCGTGAAGTAGAAGAGGGGGGGGAACGAAAGCGCACAGGGTCTTTTATGCAATTGCCTGAGAAGCCATGTTACTCACCTTTTTCTTCCCAGTCAATGTATTTGTCCTCCCAGGCACCCCTGCGAAAGCTTCCTGCGCATAACGTAGTTTAACGTGCGTTAGCCTCAAAATCAGGGTCTTACATGCTCACTGTAGCTTACCCTGCTCGGCGCTATGCAATGCGTTGACGTTGTAACGTGTCAGCAGGTTACTTTACATCCTAACGGGAGCAAATTTTGAGATCTAGGATGTTATGAGAACGTCACATTAGGATGTTATCACGCGATGATAACTTTTTTGCATCAATTGTGTAGAAGCCGACAGTCAATTTAGTGTTTGATATTTTATTTATTAAAAAAAAGTGGACAGGTTAAATACGATTGAACATGGTTGTCTACCCAGCTCACGGACGGGGAAGGAAGATACGACATGTGAAGGTGTTTGCTGTCTATCGGGTGGGTGTAAGAAAGGTGCTCCATCAGATTTTTCATCAGCCTTTTCTTATTACTGCGATGAATCAGCAGTGACTGAATTTCCTCTAAGGTATGTGCGAAGATGATTAGGAACATCGAATGTCGTCGTGCTTGCCATGCTGGCCTTATCAGACTGTCGAGAAAAAACAACTACATTTCAAGTTAAGGCAGTATTGCAGAATTTGGTTGCACAATTGCTTGTCGCTGGGTGTTCCTCATAAGTTGTGTGGCTACCTAGGCAGGTGGATACTGCTGAAAATAAAAAAGTTGATGGTCTCGTTTCAACAATGGCACACAACTAGTGTCGCCACTGCTCTGTTGATCAATTGACACCGCGTAAAGCAGCACTCAGTCCAGCTTATCGGAAACTCATCGTTCTCTCAGCGTCTCCGTGGTCTTGAATTGCCTTGCAGAGCCTTCTTCTATAAGCGAGACAGTTGTTACTGCCTTGTTGCGTGAGTATTTCTACCGTTGCTTAGGTTTTGTGGAAAGTGCATAATATATATCTTTGGGGTTTTGTTAATAGTTTGTATTTTTAACATCTTATTTTGAGATGTCCAGCATTTTTTGCGCAAGGGACGTTGATAATATTGGAATATAAATTAATTTCTCCTAAGTGCGCTAGAGTTATTTATTTACATGAAGCTGTGCGGCTCGACATCACCGGGCCTACTCAGCGCTGCTTCCACAAATAAAAACGTCGACTTTTCGAAAGGCTTTCGTGTAACTGTCCCTTTTTTCTCCGGTCCCCATTACTTGTTTTCTCTCCTATGTTCATTTCTCTTTCTGTACTTCTATCTTCGTTTTATCTTGCATTCTGAGCTCCTGATAAAGTAGGCAGCCATCATGCTTCACGAAATGACTGATGTCTCCAGGCTATATCTCCCTATTTGCACTGTGTGCTTGAATCTTTGCATATATACGTCGCATAATAATATCGATATAGTCATAGCGAAGAATATTGGGAAAGAAACCCAATCGAGGATACTCACACTGGTGGTAGGATCCATCTCAGTCCAAGAACTAATAAGCTGAAGTCCATATAAAGTGACCAGAAGGCAAAGTGGGAAACCACCATGCAGGCGGAATTTATTTATGTAAACAGCCAAAATAGAAACAATCTTGTGGGAACTCGAGTATAAAAAAGTCTCACGTGAATTCAGGCCAACTTTCAACCTCTCAACACATCATGCTTGCACCTATGAACACCGGACAAATTAACAACTGCTCCATTCATTTATACCAACGGCATTTTTTTACAGATGTAGCTATTGTGAGCTTACAACACTTGCACCACGCGAATAACTATAAGTAACAAGCACTCGATCAAACGATACATTGTTATCCAGATGTTTAACTACAAAGACAACACATCGCCATCTCACACCAGACTCCCAAGCCAGCTGTTTAATGCCTTATGAAGGTAACATTTCTTTTTTTTCAATACAGCAGTGAAAGCATTCATCGGCAGTGGGGATGTTATAAACCTTTCATAAAGAGTGAATAACAACAGTGTATTTTACTGTTTAAAAAATGGAGTGCACAAAAATATTTTTCTAAAAACTTGGCTGTCATGGGTGCAAGTTAGATTAACAGATGTACCAGATGCGCTATAAAATTGCCTATCGGCTTGCTAACATTTCTTTCTCTTCTCTTCTGTATTTTTGTTTTCATTTGAACAGGCTGTTGCGACATTGTGAGATTATTGCGTGCGTACAAGGTAAAAATAGAAAAAAAACAACCTAAGGGCGGTTCTTAGGGGTCTTGTAGTGCCGTTAGCTCGTTGACATTCCTGTGCCCTGCAGAATTTTTTTAGTTTAGTTCACGCAATGAGTACTGCCAAACTGGATCTTCGGGACCGTGTAGAATGGAACGCGTTATTGAGATTTGCGCTGCCAGGTGCCACACTCATTTCAGCTGCTCACCAAAAAACAAATCTCCTGTATCAATAAACTCATTCATTTAATGTCCAATGATTATTCTGACAAAAAAGTGGCCCTTCTTGTAAGTAGGCTCATTTTTCAACATCACGAGTACCGATTATAACATTTAACTAGAACCAGAGCCATCTATCTCTTGCAAGTTTTATTTTTTAAAGAAATTTGCTGAATGTACACGTTCGCAAAACCAAAATACCTGTTTATCTTAAAGTGCTTAGAAGAGAAACAAAAATGTCACTAATATCTCGTGCAATCAATAAATTTCTATTTCCACGCTATGTTATCGTCGATGAACAGTCAAGCGCAATACCGGCAGAGTAAAATTATCACTCAAGTAGCATTGTTGGGTTGATATCATCCTGAATCATTCACGCATGCGCATGCCAATCACCATCTCTCGAACGAATGGTGCGCAATGTAACAACCAACGTTCAACAATAAATGCTTACATTGTCAATGCCAACCAGTCTGACCAATGGCGATATTGTACCTCATTCTTGTACTGATCATCGTCCATTTGGCGCCTTGCTATCCTGAGATCATCCCAGATAAGTTTGTGATTTCAGGGCTCTGAATGAAGCCAAGGACCACTTTTGACACAGGGGAGTGATTGTTTAGCGAATTGGGTCCATAGCTACGAACAAAACTCAACACATGCCCCATCGCTAAACCTTGAAATGCAGCTTGTTCATTAAACAGCTCTCTCCTTCTTGTGAAGAAGTGCACCACAGCAGAAAACAGTATTTCTGAAGTCTTGAGTTCCCTTGAAAACGGTCAGTCTCGCGATAAGTTTGAAGAAATGTTCGAGTAATACAGAGTTCTGCACCACAAAAATGTCCGGAACATTTAGCGTCCTTCTTAGACACATCACAAGATTCGCAGTAGCGTTGGTCACTGCAGCACAGAGGTGTCGCGGGAGAAACCTGTGGTGATCTGCACTTAGCCGGGTTGGTCTGACTGTATGTGAGTGGCCACTTATTCCTGTAGCAGCCTATGTTTGAACTGAGCAATGCCTTGTCGGCATGTCACACTCAGCCTCAGATAGTTCATACGTGTCGACCGGAAACTCTAGGCCACTTTCGCGCGATTCCATTTCCTCTTGCTTCAGTCCATCTGCGTACCTGTGAAATCACAAGCTTTTGAGTTACATGAAAAGCAAAATGAGCACATCGCTAGAGTGAGTGAGTGAGTGAGTGAGTGAGTGAGTGAGTGAGAAAATGGACGAACAAACGAGTGAGCTGACATGGGCAAGAGAAATGGTAGACCTGACATTTACGTTTAGTGACACTTACAGGTTAGTTCTATAATTTATTGCAATAAGAAATGTTGGTCATTGCGCTGCACTGGCACCAAAACCAGTTCATGTTCATATCTCTAAGAAGTACATGGATGGTCTCGATCAAAGGTTTTATTGTATGTGATTGAGACCCACGGCTCTTGCATACGAAAAAGATACCCATGCAATCTGGGACTGCTTTAGAGTGAAGGAAGTTTCCCTTTTATAATTTTAAGAATTGAGTAGCCTTCAACTTGGGCAAGCAGCAGGAACCCCTCACCGATAGCTGGCACGGCTTAAAAAATAACCTAAATACTATGCTCAAAGGACATATGCCTGCACTCATGTTGTCCTTTTTATTATTCAGATGTTGAAAGCAACAAAACAGTTATCAACCTAATTGCAAGGTTTACTCTTCAATATAACTTTTGCAACGAATAAAATCTGACACTCAAGGTTTAGACACGTGCTTCTTATCTTTAGCCTACACATTGCCACACGAAGTATTTAGCGATTCTATGACACATGGCATTAACGTGGCATTTTTCCACGAGAAACCTGAATTCACTCCTCTCATTTCAACTACCATCACTGTGATAACATTGTATATTCAATTAATCCTGTAAGACGAACCTCTAAGATGAAAAAAGAGAGCGAATCGTGGTAACCAGAATGTCGTAAAGTTGTCTGCTTCATGCTAAGAGAAAAAAATTCGAGTTGAGCAATAGGAAAGAAAGAATTGAAAGATAAACAGAGAAAGTATGTAAGTCCGCACAGATCACTGCAGCGTGCGCGTGCAAAATATCGCAAGCAGAATGGCGCCCAAAGGGTCCGTCGTTCCAACAAATAGCTGTGATGAAGTTAGGATGCTGATAAGCAACTAAATACAACCTCGTTTTCTTCGCTACGCTCACCTAGCTAGATTTCGCATCTTCTGCTCAGCGTAGAAAATTTCTTCATTGTTGCTGCCCCAGTTCTTCTTTTTTGGTCTCGAGTAGACGTACGAGACATTGCTGTTGCGGTAGCCCTCGATGACGCTCAGCGTCTGCAGGGACTTGCATTGGGCCTTGCACTTATCTGGGGACACGTACACAGTTAGCTGCAGAAGAAAGAAGGCAAAGGGTATACCAGTGACAGTAATGTAATAGGTTGCATGTTAAAACACGAGACAGTGCGATTAAATTTACTCTGCATATCTATACCATACCAATATTTTGAGAACTAATTAGCCGAACTGCTGTTATAGATTCAAGCAACGAAGTTCAGTACGCATTAGAGTTTTCAATAAGTCAGACAAATACTGAATACAAAATAGTTTAGAAATTTTTGTGTTGTTTTTTTTAGCCATGAAAAAAGTGAACATTTATGTATTTAATGAACTGAGAGGAAGTTGAAAATTGGATAAGAAACAGACGTGCGCAACAGTAGGCTTAGGTAAGCGATTTCAAGCAATGGGGTGACAGATTCTTTTTTGCGATTTCTCAAAACCTATCATTGAATATTTATTTTTATTCTGACCCCCTCTAAATATTCTAGCAAAACGAAGACATTTAAAAAAAGCAGATGGCACAAGAAAATATGATTTTATACGATCTACCATCCTTTGATGCCGAAGCTAATTAGAAATATCTTACTAGGTTTGCAGTATATATGGTCTCCAAGGCGCTCTGTTGAACTTGACACGTCTTCCTGCGTGCCTATCTGCGTACGAGATAGAAAGTAAGTGATTGAGACATAAAACGAGACAGCTTAAATGTGGCAACGTTAGCGAGGTCTTACAGCTTTGTAAAGAAGCGAGCAATGAAAAGCAACTACGCAGCAAACGAAAATTGACATGCATGTACACAACCTAAGTAAACATTGCCGCTGTGGTGCTCCTCTCCACAACTGCTGTCACCCCGGTGGCTGCCACTGAAAAACAATTTTTTTCACGAGGCGAAGTGCACTCCGTAAACATTCTCTGTGTAGTGCACGAGCGGAAAACAAAAAGAAAAAGAAACACGAGAGTAGAATTACGTGCCAGAACAACAATGCGACTGAGGCATGGTTTTGTCGTATACTGTGGTTCCTTTTTTCTGATCTTTTAACTTCTTTATGTAGGTTATTAAGACGCCGTGGATTTCCAAAGTTCGGCAGAAACCTGTAGTGACACTAGTAGTGACACTTACATTTAGTAGTGACACTTGAACTCACTACTACTACTACTAGTTGTCAACTATTAGTTGACAACTAGTAGTGACACTTACAACACGCTAACAACAAGTATGCGCTGACAGGAGTACATACACTTGGTGCTTTGACTCTGCCTCTGTATGTTTTGTGAGGCGCACTTATGTAGTGCCATCTGTCATGTACTTAGAGAAGTATGGCTCTTGCCTCCGAGATTTGGTTAAGCAGCATTAAGTTGCTGTCTGTTTCACAATCTCTGATTGCGTATTCCTATCTACAACGGCAATTAGTTGAGCAGAACACAAAATTTGGGGGAAAAGTAAAAAACAAAAAAAGAACTTAGATGTTGTGAGTGTACATTCTCTACTTTATTAGAGTTGATAGGTGATGTCAAAGTCTCACGCGACACTAAGCATCAATCTGTCAAAATCAGTGAACAATAGAACTGTTTCTGATGATACAAATTTTCCTCAATATCACCTGGTCTTGTTTGGAGTCCAATGGCCTCCGGAGGAAAGGCACTTCGTAGGTATGGTGTGGCCTTAATCTATCATCCTCTGGCTCCTCAATGGCGCTCTGTAGGCTGTGCGCGGAAGCCCATCCCGACCGTAATTCTTCCGTCGTGTAGAGCGATCCGAGACGCCCTCCCCTGGTGGTATACGGCGAAGGACAATAGAGCTGTTCCCGTTCTATAGGGTGCTGCTGCTGGTTCGCGACTTGAAACTGCTGTTGGTTCTTTGCGTTCTCCCACAGGCTCATCGGCACAGTGTCGACAGACTTCATTACGTCAGACGCTTGATCACTCTCACCTGTCAGGTAGAAAGGAGTATCTTGAGATTATATTTATATCCGTCTTGGTAGGCTTGCTCGCGACAGTTTGGCACATGCAATGCTCGATAGGCTGCAGTGCCTAGAGATTTTCTCTATAGTGATTTTCAGCGGCGTCATTCCGTGCAAAGTATAAATATTAATAAAGTAGGGAGCGTAGGTGAAAAGACCCCGACAAACATAAGTAGGTTTGCGGAATTGTCATTCTATATTCATTATTGTTATCAGTGGCGGCAATAAGTTATTTGCCAATTCAAATACACTTTAAACTCAATCTTGTTAATAATATATTTTTTGGGTCTAACTTCCCAAAACCAACATATGATACTCATTCTTGTTAGGTGACTCGTTGGGCACACGATAGCATTCTTACGCCTTCCTCAAACTTTTCTTCGATTGCACTTCCATGAATGCGAATTGAGTGCTAAAGCTCCCATATTTTACGGGCATATACACAATATGATTATTTATTCCAGATTACTGATTTCGTCTTTATCACTGCTTTTTATTTTTTCCTTTAATTTATAAAGGCACACACTACGTCTTCTTCTAAATACTTCGATGCCAGTTGGTGCACCCGGTGTTTCAAACCACGAATAACTATTCTGGCGCCTAAAGAGCTTAGAAAAACAATTGCCACGAAGAATTATTAGGAACATGCTCTACGACAGCTGCCATTATGCGTGGTATGTTTACCTGAGTATGGCCTCTGGATGGCAGATAGTCGTCTGCGCGAGAACACGTAGCAGACGGCGGCGGAAATGAGCAGGACTGCCAGAATGGTGCAGGCGATAGGGATGATGATGCGAACATGGCGGTGTGGTGACTCCACAGCCTTTGTCCATTGAGGAGGTGGTAGTGTGCCTAAGGAAGGACCGAGTACTTTGTATAGTACAACTACCAACCAATAACAATAGAATAATGTGTGCGCTTCCAGAAAATGTGTATGTGATGTGGTCGCTTATGTAGATACTGGTGCCAAAGAAACTCCCGGCAAAGTATGTTTTGTAACCTACCAGTCCAGCCCGCCAGGCCACCTGACTTGTAGCAATATATTTGTGGTCCGAACCGCAGTTTCCTCTTTGATTTCTTGAAGGAATCATAGCTAAAATATTTTTTAAAATATGTATTGATGCCATAGGGCAAACTTACGCAATAAATAAATCTACCAGCGCTAAGTGCACAAATTTTTCAAAGAAAGCATACTATAAATCTGATACAGCAATCACTTCAAGCTTTTTAGAGGCGCAAGATATATGTCATATGAAATAATACATGATGATAAAGTAATAGACGAATCTTCCGCACAATTGCGTCACATTCATGCCCGCATCCCTTCATTGGCCACCTATAGAAAAAAACACCCCACAAGATGACGAGCATTTGTATTTTCGCATTTAGGGTCATGCTAGTGAAATTACTGCCCTCGCGTTGCATTTCGGATACCTCTTTACTTCGAGGCTCATGGGACACTTTTTTTGGTCTATTCCTTCTAAGGGGGGGGGGGAAGGGGTCAACATCAAGTGTAAGTAACATTGGCAATAAAACACGAAGAAAAGGGCAATCAAGTTTTTCAGCATGACATCTCAAACAGGCCTATTGCATAGCAACAACTCAACCTTCCTGATGTCGCGTTGACGCCATTACTGATCAAATTACTTTCAATTCAAATTTTGTCACATAAGTACATTCCTTTCAGTCGATCAATTTTGATTTAGAAGCTACTTTAAATAAAAACTAAGTTGAACATTTACAATAAATAACTTCACTTTTGACATGTTCTTTAAGTCGACCCTCAAATAGCCCTTTTGTAACCTCTAAAAATACAAAAGCCTAGCGTGTGTTCTCCCCCTGGCGTTACCGGTCTTCCCGGTGGACTTTATCACGCCAGTAGAGTCATTCACGCGACGTCTTAGGGCAAAAGCTCTCGACTGGTCTTTACGCGAGAGGTATCAGTTCTGAGTATTTTGTTGCCACACTGTAATCTTTTTCCGTGCACGCGCATTTTGTCATGTTTCACGCGTTTCACGTGGGCGATCAGCTTATTTTACTTCGTTACAGTGCGATTGGAGATAACAGCGTGCGTCGAGAAAGCGCAAAATCTTGCTAGGCTAAATCTTCAGTGCCCACGTTGTCGACATGTTTTATGACAAAATAAGCGGTGAGAAAAGACTTAGCGCCCGTAGGAAGGGTTGTGAAGGTGAGGAGGAAAATGCCATTGTTTGATTGGTTTAAAGGCTCTTCAAAGGGAAACATATGTCATACTGTGGGATGAATACGACAGAAGAAATATTTTCTTACCGGGTGAGATGAAAGCGAGGCGAAACACGTCTATCTATGGTGCTCACGTCATAAGCAAAGCAGAGAATAACCACCACATGTCTGCGATGTGGACGTACTGTATGTCCTAAGATCTTCCACCATTACATTACTATAGATCTAATACCTATACCGAATAATGAAACTAAGAAGAAAAAATACTAAAAAAAATATTTCTCGCTTGGAATGTGAATGCGCATGGGGCGCTGTGGAGCGCAAGCTTCTTTTTGTACCTCCAGAGAGTGTGAGGGTAGCGAAGACGTATTCTGCCTCCGTGGATCCAGCGCCGTTCTCAGCGGTGATGAGCAGGTCGTACCAGGTAGCTGGGTTCAAGTCCGCAATGAATACAACGGGTGGTTGCTTGTTGTCGGGGACCAAGTGGGTAGCTGTTGCTGGTGACCACTCCTTCTGAGACTGTGGCTTGCACAGCACGGCGAATGAAAGAATGGGACAACCGCCACTCTTCCAGGAACCCAGTTGAAGTGTCACCGAGGTAACGTTGCATAACAGTAGGTCACGCTCATCGGGTGCCACGGGTGCTGCGTGCAACCAAAAAAAAATTAGCCACGTCATCATGAGCACAAGCAGGCTGGCATGATACCCCATTTCTCGCGCATTATGTGCGTTTAAAATTGCTAGGAAACAATGACTAGTGCATTGCGTCATTTCTATTAGACAAGAGAGGGTCGCTGTAGACAAGGTAAGTGATATGATCCATGTGGTGATATATATTGTGTAAACTGTGAAGTGCCACATTGAGAGGGAGACGATAACTAAAAAAAAGAGCGGGTTATTTTCTAGTGGCGTTTTGTGCTCTTCGGCAAATTTCATAACCACAGAAACCTAGTCATGCAACGCCATGACAATATATGTGATCAATTGGTTCTTCACGAGAACTATTTGTGGCCGATTGTCCACTACCCTGCTTTTCCATGCCCTTTCATGACCGTTCTGCTTTACCTCGCCTGAATACCATGCGTGATCAACTGATCTCACTTCGTTTTGTGCGTTTTGGCTACGCAAGCAAAGATAACATTGTCTAACAAAAATATGCAAACTACTCATAAGCAAGTCGGTTAGCGCTCACGGTGTCTACGTTTTATGGAAAAAAAAACGAGTAGGCGAGGAATAAGGCTGGTATCAAGAGTACTCGAGCCGAGAAAAAAACCTTTCTCTGTGTGACATGGCACTACTTAAGTAACCACAAGCAAGTTCAGGCCTATTGTGTATAAAAAAATCACAGTTTTGCCACAAGTAGAACCAGTCGGTGTCATAGCACAAATTTTAATGGCCTTCAAACTAACGCTACCAGTCATTCTGGCAAGCTTTTCGCGCACTGATCAAACTTGCCCGTATGACTACACACCAATCAGCCCAAGTTTCCACTCTTGTAACGCTACCAGGTAACTTATGAATCAAAACTCTAACTCTAAGATTTACCGAACAGCTCCGATGTATATCAGAGCCTACGCTTTTAGACAGCTCTGATAGGCGAAGTGATGCAAAGCAAGGTTAAAATGGGCATGGTATTTCTCTAAAGAAGCCTCCGTTCCATTTGAACAACTGCATGTCTCCACGCATCGCGTCTTTTCAGGAACTCCCCAATCCACGGTGTGACCGCCACACGCTTGTTGTGGACTAGCACAAGTCTACAAATAAGCTGTCTTCGCTGCTTCCAAACGACAAAACGTATCCAAGCTGTCCACTTGGTTCCTATCACAATAATAAGGTTGCGACCAAGGAAGCATAAAGAGTCTCCTTTGTTGTGCCGCATGAATATATTTTATATTATATTGCCTTGGAAGCTCAGAACGGCAATATGCCGCATTTCTCATTCATGTGAACGGGGGTATCACCTTTCCAAACAATTTTCATGTGAAGTGCTCTTTATATGCACATTTTGACGCAAAGCAGCAACGACTCACTATCTTTGGGCCCTCAGTAATCAGTTCACTTTGAAAAAACATTTTATAAAAAAAGCAGCACCTGCTGACTTGCCCTTACATAATGTTAGTATAAAAGACATGGTAGACGTGCGGTAAGCCCTATAAATCGATGTTCGTTAACCCAACTTTCCCTCTTGCGCATATCAAAGCTTCCAGTGTTAAATAAGTGAACCTGAGGAACCAGTCCTTCCCTCATACACCTATAGGGCAGCTTTCTTCAAAGAACATGCACGCTCAGTAGTTTGCAATAGGAGAGAATGACACTTCATGTACTGTCAATTTTCTGAAATTAGGACAGCTTATAGCTCTCCCATAGTACAGTACATTGTGCTCTACATTGTCGAACATTTTTTTCTGAACAAACATTAACACCTGCCAGTTTATTCTGCAAGAACCCGTGAGTTCATGGCGTACATTTTTATTTCAATGTGGCATCATCAAGTGTGAGGCCCACAGGACTGCTTTATGCTCTCCCATAGTAGAGTTCCAAGTACTCTCAATCGTTACCAACGTTTTTATAACACAAAATGGGTGAGGTCTTCGCAGTAGGTGCATGTGAAACATTAAAACGGCTGAATGCTCTCCCATATTCGAGTACATCATACTCTAAATCGTCAGCCATTTTAGAGCTCAGCGCTCAGGCGCCCGTTCCCGAGTTTAGCAGCGTCGGTGTCGTTGTAACCAGCAGTGTGAACGGGGAGCACAGTGTTGGATAAAAGATGGCGATAACGCGAAGAAAGCAAGTAGAGAGGAACTTCCCTTCGTGGCAGGGAATGACACTGACCAGACCAATATTTTTTAAACCTCCTTGGACGGGATTTTAAATTCCGCGGCACTAAAGCAGCTAGCACCGGCGCACGTCGGCTGTTGTGGAACGCATCCAGGCGCTTCCTTCTGTGGTCTCCGGTTTGCAAGACCACAATTTTATCCAGCGGCCATGGGAAGGCCCTCCCCTACGCTCTTCCTGCGGTGGTTTTTGTGAAATGAGCTGCACGAAATTGCTCGTGCTAGTCGGGATCGCAGTGCTTTCTCATTGATGTATACCGGACACCTGTATGCGAACTATAGCTGAGTCTCCGAAAAATGAGTGACCCTACTGGTGGAAGTGCTTCATTTTCCCCTAAAGCGGCACGAGCTGCCCAAGCAGAGTTTCAATGCCACCGACGCCATAATTCAAAGATGTGTGACGTGGAAGCAAGAATATTTGCCTCAAGTTATAGCATAATCAACTAACACAAATGCATCTATTTGCCGCTTTTTATATCTCCCACGTGGCGTAGCTTTCCCCGCGCAGGCCAGTAATAAAAAAGAGTAAATACTTCAAACGTAGTATACAAGCTATTTACAAAGGTTATTGCTAACAGAGTAAAGAAAACATTACAATTCAATCAACTAAAAGAACAAGCAGGATTTCGAACAGGCTACTCAACAATCCACCACGTTCATACTATCAATCAGGTAATAGAGAAATGCTCAGAATCTAACCAACCACTATACATAGCCTTCATAAATTACGAGAATGCATTTGATTCAGTAGAAATATCAGCCGTCATGCAGACACTGCGGAATCAGGGCGCCGATGAAGTATATATAAACATCCTGGAAGAAATCTACTGGGGATCAACTGCTACCATGGTGCTTCATAAAGAAAGCAACAGAATACCAATCAAGAAGGGTGTAAGGCAGGGGGACACAATCTCCCCAATGCTATTTATCGCGTGCTTACAGGAGGTTTCCAGAAGCCTAGAATGGGAGCAGTTAGGGATAAGAGTTAATGTAGAGTACCTTAGTAACCTGCGCTTTGGCGGTGACATTGCATTGCTGGTTAACTCAGGGGATGATTTGCAACTCATGATTACGGAGTTAGACAAGGAGTGCAGAAAGGTGGGTCTTAAAATTAATCTGAAGAAAACGAAAGTGATGTACAACAACCTCAGAAAAGAGCAGCGCTTCGAGATAGGTAATAGTGCTCTTCAAGTTGTAAAAGACTGTCTACTTGGGGCAGGTAATAACCGTGGAGCCAAACCACAAGATTGAAGTAACTTGAAGAATAAGAATGGGGTGGAGCACATTTGCCAAGCACTCTCAAATTATGACAGGTAGATTGCCACTATCCCTCAAAAGGAGGATATAAAACAGCTGTATCTTGCCGGTACTTAGCTACGGAGCAGAAACCTGGCGACTTACAAGGAGGGTTCAGCTTAAGTTGAGGACGACGCAGCGAGCAATGGAAAGAAAAATGGTAGGTGTAACCTTAAGAGACAAGAAGAGAGCAGAGTGTATTAGGGAACAAACGGGGGTTAAGGATATCATAGCTGAAATCAAGAAGAGGAAATGGACATGGGCCGGGCATGTAGCGCGTAGACAGGATAACAGCTGGTCATTAAGGGTAACTGACTGGATTCCCAGAGAAAGCAAGCGGGTTAGGGGGAGACAGAAGGTTAGGTGGGCAGATGAGTTTACGGGTATAAATTGGCAGCAGCAAGCACAGGACCGTTTTAACTGGCGGAACATGGGAGAGGCCTTTGTCCTGCAGTGGACGTAGTCAGGCTGATGATGATGACTTCAAACGTTTCACAAATCGCTGTTACTGAGCTCACACTCAGCAGGTTCTTTAAACTTCTGCCACATGTGATTTTTCAACGGTACAAACTTGGTCAGCGTGTGCACGTCCAGAAGGTGTGCGGGGCGGCACTGGGTAACATCTCAACGCCCTATCATGAGATGCCTGAATCCGGATCAACTAAAAACCTGCAGGACAGTCCAGTAATGTTGCCCTCAGCACAAATTATTTGTGAAGTGCCATGCACTTATAGTAAGACTCTTCTGTAATATCCCACAAAACTGTTACAGGGCCCGCTCAATATACTGACCAATACCGGAAAGAAAACTCAATGCCGATGCCACTCGCAAATGAAGTTCTATGGAGGTCCCCTGATTACGATATACCCTTCACTTAAGAAATCTTCCTTAGACAAGTTACGAATGAGGTGGGGCGTTCGTAAGCTCCGCTGGTGGCCCACCTTCACCGAGTAGAGTGGGCTGTGGTTTCTTTTTAAGAAATCAGTACATTATTCTTTGACCATATATGGGACAGTATTGAGTGGTTCTTCCGTTATATTTCAACCATATAGCATATTTGGTTGGCGTGACTCGCTCATTGTTCAAAAGGAGGAAACAAAAGTTTTCAGTGGGTGTGTACCTGATCCATCAGTCTTAGCCAAGATGGTGTTGCTCCTTGGACCCCTTCCAGCTGCGTTGAAGGCTACAGCGTAAAAGGAGTAATGGCGGCCACACCGGAGGCCTCGAAACGCGTACGCCGACCTCTCAGATCCCGTCTGCACTTCCGTCCAGTCACCTGCATCTTCAGTGGACTGCGCTTCGGGTGTTGAGGACGGCTCTGGTTTGTGAAACAGCACGAAACCTGAAAGAATGACTCTTACTGTAACATTATGAGGCTTCCCTATGATGCGGGATATTGTTCTATAGTATCGCTTCTCTCGGGCAACAAACGAAGGCGTGGTGGCTGGTTTCAACTAAAGATATAGTAAGCAGCACAGCGTTCGTGTGCGCTTTGTTGTACTTTCATTACTTACGACATTTATTTAGCTACCTCAAAGACATCTTCAATTCATGACCAATCGCGTATCTCACCACGAATGTAATCACACGACACTGCAAAACGATGAAAAATCCTTGGAGCACGGGTGGTTGATGGAGCCAACGTTTCGAAAAAAAGCCAACTTGTTTTCAAGGTTGCTACTGCAGTTACTGAGTTGTAGTGCCATGAAAAAACCATCGCTGGAAGAAAGAATATTCATCTGAACTTCTGCCCTATAAGACATTGTGAGAAGCCCGGTGAGTTTTTATTCTTTTTATCCACAGAGAATTTTCGCATCCGAATAACGCCGCCAACATTGACAGCTGCAAACTTTGTGCGACCGAGGGTCCTGATTGATTGATTTGTGGGGTTTAACGTCCCAAAACCACCATATGATTATGAGAGACGCCGTAGTGGAGGGCTCCGGAAATTTCGACCACCTGGGGTTCTTTAACGTGCGCCCAAATCTGAGCACACGGGCCTACAACATTTCCGCCTCCATCAGAAATGCAGCCGCCACAGCCGGGAATCGAACCCGCGACCTGCGGGTCAGCAGCCGAGTACCTTAGCTACTAGACCACCGCAGCGGGGCGCCCGAGGGTCCTTAATACCGCAATTCAGTAGTATTGTACAAATAGATTAACAACGTAGGTTCTGCTTAAGGAAAAAACACAAGCACACTTATCACGCTTAAGTGTGCGACTACTTTCTTTCAGGGACGTTTGCTTTCATTGTGCAAGAGAAAACCGTATACAGGGGACTTAAAATAATGCCAAATGTTTAAAAGTTTAGCTGCACCTTTTTTTATTGCATCGCTAATGAAAGTATAGAGACACAATTTTAATGAAAAATACTTTCCGTTTTTATTCTTTTTATTGCAAGGGCACACAAGAGAGTTCTCTATAGTTCGGCAGCGTCGAAACTTGTTGCTTACCATTTATAGGTTCGTCTTTTTCGACGTCCCAACTGAGGTGCACTGAAGATGACGTTGACGAAACCATCTTGAGCCGAGGTGCAGATGGAGCATCTGAATGTAAAAGAATTTCATCAAAACTTTGATGAGTATACTTTAATTATCAGCATAGGCCACAAAAGAAAAAAAAGTGCCGAATTTAGTGCTATCATGACCCCGAAGCCCTTAGCAATGCTTACACGCCATACACTCTCAGTCAGGTGCCGGATAACGAACGGAATACAGGCGGTGCGCTCTTGCGTACTAAAATCCTATCTATAGGGAGCCCAGCAATAAAAAATATCCGTGACAGCCGCGCCGCGTGGATATAACGCATAGAGCCGGCTAAAGCAGGCGAAAGAAGGAAAAAAATGGCCTCGTATCTGCATGTTAATCTGCAAATGTCGACGAAAGACGATACTCTCGCATGTGGAGAGAGTGAACAAAACATGTTTTTGATGTTCTGCGGAAGAAAATCGGTGAAAGGTATTCTGGAGCTACTGCGTTAGAGTGCCTCGAGCGTGCAGCGGAGGCGAGCGAGCGCGTCAAGTCACTTCACACGTGAGACATGAGCGCTATCTGGCAGTTTTCTTCGAAAACGACACGCGCGGTTCTGAGACGGGCGTGCACACCCGTCTCTGAGGTGATAAGGTGTAGAACGCAAGGCGATGGATAGGTGCCACTACCGTGTCGTCTTAGCAAAGCGTTGGAAACACTCGCCTTTTCGTGCAAGCGTTGCAGGGTCAACGCAGCGTGATAAACGATACGGTCCTTATAATTACTTATGTATGCTTTTTCTAGTAAGAGACGCACATACGGAATATATACATGTTGCTATGGTGCCTCAGATATGCGCAATAATTGCTTTTAATTGACAATCGCACAAATATGAACACTGAATCTTGAGCAACATTGGTGGTGAGCGCTGCGGATGGGGTCGGCCGTTTAGCGTATCGACTAGTGCCGTTCAGAGTGCCCGGTACCGTCAATGGTGGACAAACAGACAGACAGACAGACAGACAGACAGACAGACAGACAGACAGACAGACAGACAGACAGACAGACAGACAGACAGACAGACAGACAGACAGATCGAAATTTTTGCGTCGAAGGTACCCAAAAAAGACTATCGTCTTTAAAAAAAAAAGGAGAGCCACCGTCTCTGTCGCACCAGCCTGGTGCCAGGAGCCGGCATCAACTTATGCAGAACCGCTCAGCCACAAGCGCGAGCGCGAAAAAAAAAGAAACAAATGCCCCCCCCCCCCCCCTCTTCTGCCACCGCCATGCCAGCTGGGCACCCGGCGCCGGCAACACGTTCACCGTCGCGTGCATGCCGTGGCATTTGTGCGCTGCCGTTTCGTCCCACTGTCTTGTAATGGTCGTTTTCCTACAAGATGGTCTAGGACAGAAATATTTTGCAGTGTCAGACGGCACAATTTATTCAAGATATTATACATCTCTCTGCATTTGGGCGAACACTGGGATGTGCAGTCCCATTGCTACTCTTTTGATTTCAATAAAAGATTAGAAACAACTTTTCGTTTATCAGTTGTCGAGGTGTGACATTGTGTCATGCACTAAATAAAGGAGTTCTAGTGCATGCACGACAGCTTACTGAAACACTGGCCTATGTTTGTTGATGCTCATGTTCTACGAAACAAGTTGAACTGATGATTTTAGGAAAGCATGGCAAAAAAAGAAACAAACCAAACGCAGCGAGACAGAGAAAGATCAAAATTGAAAATCAATCGGTCGATGTTTCATTAGTGGTTGCGTAATTTCATGAAGAACATTAAGTACAGAGGTCAGAAGTCAGGTGCAGAAGTCAGCAGGAGTGCGTATGTCACAGACATTTGCTCACTCCTTCGAATATTAAGTACAGTTCTCATATACTAGCATAGATTTGTAACAGTAAACCACAACCAATACAACCAGTGTACTCTGGCGATAATATACCAGCTATGAAAATCCCCATTTTCTAAAGTGCAACTGCATGTAGTAATCATAAAGATTATCAGGTTCGTTCTGCACCATTTCTTGACCCCAACTGCACGCGGACGTTCGCGAAAAAAATGTGCAGAGGCATTATTTATTTGGAGGGAGACTGACCTGCCCGTCGCTAATTTGTGTACGTCATACTTGACATTGGCGCGCGTTTCGGCATTCACTTGAACAGTGTTGCGATGCTGAATAAAGGTAAGAGTAGCCACTCCCCATAGATAAGATTACTTAAAGACTGAAAATGAGTCAAAGCCACTCCATATAGCGAAATGATGAGCATAAGTTCTAATTGCAGAAATAAGTAATCGTCGAAATGTTAAGAAGGCGCTGCTGCCCCCGCGTGTTGCTCGCGGCAGTTCGCGCGTACGAAATGCAAATGTTAGAGTAGGCGCGCTAAACTACCCATGCAACGTTTACGTGCGAAAGCGCACTGTCTTAAAACAGCTGAGAATTGGCTGCTGTCACTGACACACGTGTACCTCCTGACACAAATCAGCGAAATTTCTCACAGCAGACGCACGTGAGAGAAACATACGCAGGTTTCGACAGCCGAACACAGCCTCCTCCGAGAATTTCGGTGAGCGTAACACCAGCGGTTCACGGGGAAGCACTAAAACGACGCCCAAACACACGTTAATCGTTCTTGCGCAACGGTGCACCACGAACCGAAGTAAGAGCCGAAAGCGCTCACCGTGGTTGTCTCGAGTTCATGAAGCCCTACAAGCTATTCGCAGATCAAGTGCATGCATATGGCACAAAAACAGCTTAAGGTTCCGCGACAGTTTGCAAAAAGCCACTTGGCAGATATATACTCTGCAAAAAGATTCGCCTTCGTGCGGTGGCGCAGTGGTGCAATAAGTAAGACATCTGCTTCACGTGCATGCGGTCCCGAGTTCGATTCCAGGGCTGTGTGGGCTTTGCATGTTAATCTCGCAGACGTAGGTGATTGTAATACTAATGGTGTTTAATTACATGTAGCCATAATATCCACCACCCTATCGGTGAGAAACCGCTCTCAAGAGCAGAAAATAATGCTTTTTTTTCCGCCACCGCATCAGGGCCGGGCCACGTACGGAAATGTCACGTCTAACCGCAGGCCGTATCTTGCCAGGAAGAGTTTGACCGAAAATCCTGGCTATTCTGAAGGCCACTTCAAATCAGGCTGATTTCTCTGGGACACGGCTATGGAGCCGCGTAGAAGCGGCGATAATTTGACTTGATTTTCTGCCTACAGGCGTGTAGTGTAGCCAGAATTGGACTAAGAGAGTGGATAATACATCGGAAAACACATCGTCAGTGCTAAACACTGACGATGTGTTTTCCGAGCTATGCATGGCCCACTACATTCATCATTACACTTTTTTCATTCTAAACGAACGTGCGGCCTTTGGTAGAATACATTTGTCACGATACTTGATTACTTCATTAATTGTTTGTTCAACACAGAAACATGTCCAACTTATTAGTGCTTACGCTGCAATCGCGCCCGACAGGGTGGTCTAGCGACTATGGCACTCCACTGCTGACCCGAAGGTCGCTGGATCGAATATCGGCTGAGCCGGCCACATTTTCGATGGAGGTGACAATGCTTGAACCATGTATACATAGATTTAGGTACACGTTAGAGAACCCTGGGTGGTCGAAATTTCAGGAGCCATGCACTATATGGGGTCCTTTATAATCCCTTTGTCGTTTGGTCACGTTAAACCACAGGGATTATCATCATACTAGTTGCAGTCCCTGAGTGATGCTGCTAATAAAAGCTTTTTTTGTGCTAGTTGGGCCTTAGCTATAAAATAGGAAGATGGGGTAACACGGGACAAAGATATAGACAAAAGAAGTAGTACAAGCGCACACTACCAACTCATTTTAATTCGAAAGGGCGCTGATCCAGGGGAAGATGAGGTAAGCAGAGGAAAAAAAGACGGGAAGACGAAGTGTCGCCGCAGCCAGAGTTACAGCAAGCAGATTTGTCTTCTTTAAGGCTGCAACCATCTTTTCTCTGTGTCGTTTTCTATGTCTGTATGCAAATCAAATAAAAAAATAAAAAGATGTCGGCCTGTTTACAAATTTGTTGTCTCTAATAAAACTACCATTATCTTCGAAATCAGTACATTGATCCGCACTCGCATACCGATTCACTCAGCAGACAAGAGTAACTGAAACACGTTTACCAGGTGCTACGAATAACCGCAAGTCCACCCTATGTTCAATATATGCTGATACCGAGACGTTGCCGTACTTTTAAACATGGACCAACGGCTACACGCCACTCCTCAAGAAAAGCCATCCGTTTGTATTGCGGCGTGATTTTGCTTCTGTCTTTTCTGCCATACGTTATGGTCTAAGTAGACTAATTGCTACTTGCACGGCAAAGTAAAAAAGTTTTGGATGTAAACCAGGCTTTCTGGCCAGGTAAGACTGCTCCCCAAAGGGTGCTTCTAACATGGCTGCATGCTATTATCTAAGCCCATTTAGGACTGCTGTTTCCTTCTCTATATTTTCTGCCAAAGAGACCGCGAAAAAATCAAGAGTATATATCCTGGATTTTGTGTTCCGCTAACCCTAACTTCAGCTCAATACGGTCGAACTAACATGACCCTTCACTGGTATCCCCAGGAGTTTGCATGCGGATTATGTGACCATGAAGTTTAATAAAAATTTCCTGCAATACGGTCGGTAGATATTTATTTATTCATTCATTTATTTGTACATACCCCAGTCCCATCAGAGGGCTACAAGTGTGAAATAAAATAACGCTGAACGTAACAACAAAACAACATTAACAAAACCTGTGACATCAAAGTTTGTGATGCACATTGGCTTGAAATGTAAACCACTATTCGAAACCATTGCCAAGAGTGAGCGAACGAAGCCAAATACGGAATACCATAATGTATACTGCGGGAAAACAACTGTACATAAATATATCTCCAAGGGTAAAAAAAACAAGACGCTCAAGAATATGTATGTAAAATTAACACGTGCTTGACGGTTTGGTCAAGATTACGCATGTTGTGCACGAAAGGGGTTAAGACGCATTAGGTATGTAATGCAAAATAGTATTCATTCTACATAACGACGCACAGAAAGTGGTGTTAGGGTACGTTCAGGTAACTATGCAAGTCTGAGAAACAGTGGTCAGGTTTGCGAAAATTGAAACGTAGGGCTTTATTTAAACCTGCTTTCCGACTGATTTTTATAAAAGGTGAACAGACCATTGAGGCAAAGCCACCGTTTGAGTCTCTAGATTTACTGTTTGTCTTGAAATTTAGTGTGTACTTTAAGATTTACTGGGCATTACATGCCGCCTGCTGTCGTATAAGTTCTTCATGGTATGTGTCAATGTATTTGTAGCTATGGCAATTTTCGGGAAGATTTCAACAATTTTTTTGACTGGCTCATTTTGTGATTTGTTCATTAGTCAGTATTTATTTGATGATTTCAAATTCACCACCATGCTCTATTACTCCACTTTCTTCTTTCCATATACTGATTGTCTAATAGTTATGGCAGGAGCTGAGCCTGCTGTGAATCGAAGAACCACAGCTTTGGCTGTTCCCCATTTCTCTTCATATTTCATATATATTTCTGAACAAGAAAACTTTCGTCATACGTTGTTATCACCAACATAAGTATGATCAGCTGAATATGAATGACTGAGTCAATTAGCGCACCTTTCTTTGCATTCGTGCATGATAATATAACCTGGGTCTTGCATTACCAACCTAACATTTTTGACCACTGTTCATTAACGGAGACGTCAACATCTCTTAGCAACCGCAAAAAATTCGCTCCATATCTGCATTTCACACTGCAAATGTCGTCGAAAGACGATAGTCTTGCGTCTGGAGAGAGGGAACAAAACGTTTATTTGATGTTTTGCGCAAGAACATCGGTGAATAGTAATCTGTAGGCGCTGTGTTAGAGTGTCTCGACTGTGCAGTGGAGGCGAACGAGCGCATCAAGTCACGTCACACGTGATACATGAGCGCTATCTGGCAATCATCTTGGTAAACGAAGCGCGTGCCCTGCGCGCCCATCTCGGGGGTAATAAGATGTATAACACAAGGCGACGGATAGGTGCCACAACCATGTCGTCTTAGCGAAACGTTGGAAACACTTGCTTTTTCGTGCAAGCGTTGCCTGTTCAGCACAACGTGATAAGCACTATGGTCTTTTTAATTACTTATGTATGTTTTTTCTAGTAAGAGACACACATACAAAATATATTGACATGTTATTACGGTGCCTCAGATATGCGCAATAGCTGCTTTTTATTGACAGTCACAAAAGTACGAACGCTGAATCTTGAGCAATTTCAGTGGGCGCTGCGGATAGGGTCAGCCGTTAAGAGTATCGTTTGGTCACTTTGGTGCCGTTTAGGGTACCGTTAAAGGCGGACAAACAGGCAAATGTACAGACAGACAGAGAGACAGACTGACCAGAAGTTTTGCGTCTAGGTCCCCTAGAAAGACTATCGTTTTTAAAAACGATGCTGGTGTTATGGGTAGCGAGACGTACATAAAATGCGCCACAGGTTAAACTCACCGATGTCGAGGGTTTGAGCGAAGACCTCCTCTGAAGCGGGCCCAGCCCCTTTGGCGTTGAACGCCTGCACGACGACACTGTAGCGGGTGCTACGCCTCAGGTCCATCAGTTCACACTGCTGCACCGGTGACGTAGACGAACTCTCCAGCGTTTTGTATGAGAACGACTCCTTCGCGTCGCGAATACGGTAGCCCACGTAGTAACCCTGGACCAAGCCGTTGGATTCCTCGTGCGATGGCGGCTGTTGATTTCAAAGTGGCAATGAAGAAAATTGTACAAGAGTTTTGTTGTCAATAAATTGGGATTTACGGCATACTGCTGGTTTACTGCTTTCCTTTTCGGCGTTCCGTTTTTTTCTGCACCTATTAGGTTGTACTTCCTACATGCTACACTATTGTAGAATAAGAGTGCGTAATCGTTACTCAACAACTAATAAATATGATTCCTTTGACGTGGTACAGCTCTAATGCACGGAAAAGTATTCCCGTTTTAGTATAGTGACTGATTTATGCAAAATTTCTCGCGAAAACTTCGTCATGTGGCTACATGACACAGTTCTGGCTGCCACAGGTATACTATGTGCTGTCATATAAGTGTTCAAGTCAAAATTACGCTATTATGACACATGCTGTAGACACGGAAAACAAACATACGAGCATCACTTGGCCCTAAAAAGCAGCGCTTGGAAGCGTGAGTTCCATACGTGAACTCCCCTTCTGCAACGCTACAGTGCTTTGACGGTACAGTGAATACACCAAACTCTACTCGACAAATCGTTTGATCACAAAGGTATCTATTGTTTTTTTGTGTTAGTATAGTTAAAACTATTTCAATTTATAAAAAAAATTACAATTACTCTGACTGTCCAACACTGGCATTCGTACCCTCTGCTTACCTTCCAGGAAACGTGCAGGCTTCGCGAACCAGTTGGAGTCACCTTTATATCACGTGGTGCGCCGGTTGGAGCTGCGTTAAACCATCATATGCTGAATAACCCGCTTTTAACTTTAAGCTTCGCATCAAATAAAAGTGCACATGATTCTCTTCAAGCAGCAAGAGTGCCTGCGTTTTTAAGAACAAGTCTTTTAGGTGCTCAATCTAAGTGCTAATCATCCTATTTACATCATTTATTCATGAGACAAAAAATCTTGTTCACACATAACTTAATTAAAAAGAAAATGAAGCTATTGGCATTAGCACCTTCTACTAACATACTTCTCGAGCCCAGAAATGAATTTTTATGGCAAGAGGAACTTTTTCTAAAGATGTATCACAGGCCCCTTAGAAAACTATCAAGCCTTCCTTTTGAAGCACTGGCGAATCGGGAGATATCCTTGATGTACTGATTGGCTTTATGGGGAAAAAAAGGGCGTAATAATTGCCGTATTTTTAATGTTTACAAGGTACTGCTGTACCTTAGATCCTTTAGCTTGTCAATATTTTATTTCAGTGACAAGAATAACCTAGCATTGATGTTACTCAGTGCATTATTTTCTCACTGGACCATATACCCCATCCAAAAATTGTTGCGAAAATGTTATAAGTTTGTAATTTCTCGTCGTGACCACTATGCGCAATCACGAAAAAATACAACGGTATTTGACTTCACCTATGGCAGGTAACTCACACATTTTTGTACGATACATAAGATTGTAGCCTGGTGGTCGTACAAAAAAGAGAGAGGTTGCCTAAAAGCAGCCTTCCATGTCACTGGAAGCAACATTTTCGATGCCAATATTATAGACACCAGCTCTTAATCCCGCTTCTTGCACCTTCGCCCCTCCCTCACGAATAAAACACGCCATGGTTGCTGAGGACGACGCGTATAATGATGTTGAAGAAGCGGGATACCTTCTTCTTGTGTTGTGAGCAGAAGCGTGTCGCTGGGGTCACTGACGCCGATGGCGTTCTCTGCCCTAAGCCGGAACTCGTAGCTTGTTTTCGGTCGTAAGCCATTTGCCACGTGCGTCAATTCGGTCGATTCAATTGCTGTTATTTGCGATTCGTGCTCCCAGGATCCTGCGAGAACACAGCGCCAAACACCGGCTCTTTACGAGTAATTGCTACATTGCAATAATAGAAGCCAAAAGACATTGACGTGGTACACTGCATTGATTGTGGTTACCGAATTGCAAAATCTTCTAGTAGGATAGAGAGGGGGGTAAGGGGGGGGGGTGTATTGAAAGCCAACTAGATGTCAGTCACACTTGCCAGGCTAAACAGGTGAAGGACTCTCAGGGCTAACTGGCATACAAGGTTCAGTTTGACTTAATTAGTCATGCGTATTACGTATAGTCGCTTGGAAGGTAAATTCCATAAACCAAACTAGCGTCTTAGCTAGCAGCATGATGAAAAGTTGGCTGAGTTTGTACGAATTTATACTTCAAAAGGCATGAAAAGACAACCACAAAACAAGGAAAAAGACAGGACAACGAGTTAATACGAACGGAAATTTTCCTAGAGGACCCTCACCAAGAAGACCAGAAAACTGCCACCTAAAGGGGTACTTTATTGGTTGCTGTTTCCCGACTTTAAAAATATAAATAACAGTATCACGCGTTCAACAATATTATTATCAAATCATTATTCTATAGCTGTGAATGTTTAGTGGCTTGTTAAACTAAAATGCAGTACACGCTCTCGAGCCAGAGCACACATTTGGCGCTTCTGGAATGGCATACCCAGTGTCCGCTTGACCCGCTGTGCAGCCCCAACAACAATGTGGCTCCTGACATGCCTTTTTCTTTTTAACAAGCTATGAGGGTTAAGTTGCGCAGAAAGCATGTCTGTTGTACAGGCGAGAGTGTCATAGGTGAAAAGTACCTGCAATGGCATACCCAGTGTCCGCTTGACCCGGTGCGCCGCCCCGGCAACAATGGGGCTCCTGACATGTATTTTTCTTCTTACAAGCTATGATGGTCAAGTTGCACAGAAAGCGTGTCTGTTGTACAGGCGAGAGTGTCATAGTTGATAAGTATGTTGCTAACGTTACTATGAGTTGACGGGTTAATAGATATACTCATGTATGTCTTTTTCTTTTTAACAAGCTATGAAGGTTAAGTTGCACAGAAAGCGTGTCTGTTGTACAAGCGAGAGTGTCATGGTGATAAGTATGTTGCTACAGTTACTATGAGTTGAGGTGTTAATAGATATACTCATGTATGTGCACCCCTGGCCACCAGTAGGGAAGTGAGTGTCTCTTGTTAAAAGGAAATAAATTTTTTCTGTATCTTTTTGTAACAATTCTTGTGTATCTGTGTATGTTGTGTTACGTGTACATATGTAAACACGTCTTTTTGTCACAACTTTTGGTGTGTTTGTGGATGTTGTGTTCTATCGCGATGTTCTGTTGAATTGTAATTGATGTTCCCTGTCCGGGAGAATAAATTTCTCTATACACGGAGTAACTAGTACTCTGAAATCTTTACCGACAAACACATCAAGTGTGAGGCCCACGGGACGGTTTTATGCATTCCCATACTTGAGCACCTTGTACTCTAAATCGTTAGCACAATTTAGGGGCAAAGCTTCTCAAGCCATGGGTTGCGCGTACGCAATGTAACTAGTTGGAGTAGTCGTCGTAGTAGTAGGTAGCCACCTCTCCTCAGTTCATCAAACGTCCGCTAGAAGATGGTACTTCTATATCATGAATATATGATAAAAACATGCCAGGTGACGGCACTCGGAGCGTTCACTAGATCGACGCACCGACGAACAAGCAGACGGACGGATGGATGGATGCGCGAATGGATGACTGGATAGACAGATGCACGGACAGACGCGCGGATAAATTGACGCAGTGACGGACGAATGAACAGATGGATGCATGGACGAACGAACAGATTCATGAATGGATGAACGCACATACAGACGCACGGAAGCACGGATGCTCTCACGAACGCACGGACGGAAGAATGAACGGACGGACGAACGTAAGTGCAGCTGGACTGACGGGACTTCGTCCCACTCATCGTCATTCACTCCTTGGATATGCTGCTATTTTTTAGGGGCGAAGCCCCTATGCTATGTGTCGTGCGTCCGCGATGTATGTAGCAGCAGCAGCAGCAGCAGCAGCAGTAGTAGCAGTAGTAGTAGTAGTAGTAGTAGTAGTAGTAGTAGTAGTAGTAGTAGTAGTAGTAGGTAGCCACCTCCACAGGCGGACCAGAGGAGCGGCACGCACGCACTTTTTAACTTGAGGAAGAAACCCGCGCACGTTAATCATATGTAAAAATATAGTTGTTTCAGATGAAATACCCTACCGAGACGAGATACAATAAATTTCGCCTTGAATTCGATGCTCACTAAAAATCTAGTAACAGAAGGACGCACTTTGATAACTATCTGACTAGAAAAGGTTGTCATGTTAGATTCGCTGGGTGTAACCTTCCTTGTTTTAGCAAGGTTTAGCGAGGGTTGGGCTGTAGTGCCATGAACTAGCGGCGGTGAAAGCTGAGAACTATACCCGAAGAACAGGCCGTGGGAGAGTGCGTGCATGCCGCTTCTCTAGCCCAGCCGTACCACTTCTCGTTTAGCCTTGAAATTTACGCTGGATGGCGGTACTTTTACATGATGAAAAGATGCGAAATGGCGGTACTTGGAGTGTACACTAAATAAACGGACGGATGAATGGACGTGCGGACGGATGCACGAACGAACAGACGAACGCAGGGACGGACAGACGCCGGAATGGGCGAACACTTGGACGGACGCAGGAACGCACTTACGGGTCCAGGAATGCACGAACTCATGGACGGTCGCATGGACGAACGCATGAAAGAACGCATGGACAGACGAACAGACAGACGTATGGACGGATGGATAGACAGACGCACGGACGGATGAATGGACCTACGAATAAACGCAGGGACGAATGCACAAACGGACGGTGGCCAAAATGGACGCATGGAAAGACGCATGGAAGGATGGACGGACACGCGGGCGAGTGGATGCACGGTCAGACAGACGAACGGACGGACGGATGGACGCACGGGCGGTCGCACAGACGCACGCAAGGACGAACGGAAGCAAGAACGAACGAACGGACGGAAGTGTGGCCGGACTAACAGATACTTCGCCCCACTTATCATCATGGACTCTGTGGATGTGCTCTGATTTTTTTTCTCAACACTAAGTACACTAAATCGTTTAAAACTTTTTATACAGCCTTGATTCTGTTAGCAGTGTCTGGATCAGGAACATTCCCTGTATACGGCGTTTAGCAGCCGGTAACTCGCCGTGCTGTAGGCCAGTCACTGTGGGTATGATACATTGACACGTCTTTGTGCACATAACTCGTTCACGTCGTATTTTTTTCCACAGGGCCTCATCGAGTGTGAGGCCCATGGGGCGACTTTTTGCTCTCCCATAGTAGAGTACTAAGCACTCAAAAATGTTAACCACTTTTTCTAAACATCTGGGATGGCTTACCGCTCTTCTTCTATAGCTAGCAGACAACAAAGTACTCTAAATCCTAAATATTTCTTTTCCAAACAGCATTTTGAGGTGATCATTTTCGACCTTTGAAAACCTATGGTTAGTAAAACGTGGACAATTTATTCCAAGCACACTGTGATAAAAGAGAAAGGATCCGCCATACGCCGTTTGAATTCGTGGCGGGCACTGTCGGCCAAAGCCGTGAGGCACGTCATGTGGCGTCCATTCCGAGTCTCTGTTTCTTCGAGCGGAAAACGCTATATAGATGGGTTTATTAGATGCGAAGCATCTTACAGCGGGGTTCAATCCGTTGTGCGGCGTAACCACCATAACTGCGCGTTCGCAACAGGTGGCCCCAGTACTGCCAGAACACGCTCACGTGCTACTGCGTCCCGGCCTGTGTAAGGGGCTAGGTAAGATGCTGTGGCTTCTCTCCTTACACTCTCTCAGCAAACATGCGATGGCATCTGAGAACGGGATTCTGCAGAGGCGCAATGAGTCGACGCATCATATGCATCTTTGACTGGTATCTTTGACTCAGCATCTTTCTCTTTTCTTTGATAAAGAGAAAGAGAGATGCTGAGGTAAGGAAAACCGCGCAACCTCACTGTCTCACGGCCAGTCAAAGATGGCACTAGCAAGGAGGTTTAAAAAACACGGTTGGGGTGGAAAACATTGCCCAGTAGTGAAGGTACAGTTTACTTCTAGTAAACTCGTGTAAAGTCATACCCACGCTAAAATGGCGCCTGCGACTACCATCTTACTAGGGGCATAATGAGCGCTTGGCGTCTGGCGAATAACAATGAGCGTATTTGTTGTATGCCCAACAATTTTAACGTGGAAGATTTCTTGGGGTCTGAAAGTGCTCAAAGTGCATCATTATGTTACCAGTAAGCCTTGAATTCGAGGCACATTCAATGAATATTAAGGCACTTATACTCTTCTCTATGCATCATTCTGTCGGAAACAAGTATATTTGAGGTAATAATCAACGTACACATTAGACTAACAGACCAAAGCCACTTGATGTTTTAGTGGGCAACACTGAAAAAATTACAGCATATTCACGAAGTGCATGATGGTGAGTGGGGTGAAGCGGCTGTCCTTCCCTGCGTTCGTTCGTGCGTCCATCCGTTCATTCATGCGTCCATTTGTCCGTTCATCTATGTGTTCATCCGTCCATCCATCCATCCGTGCGTCTAGCGGCGCATCTGTATGTCTGTCAGTCCATCCATCTAGTGAACACTCAAACTACCACCATCTCGCATCTCCTCATCCTATATTCAGCATAAAGCAGTACCATCATACAGTGCACATCCCAATGATTAAACAAGACGTGGTGCTAGCGCACTTTCTTTCGGCCTGCGGTTCGTGTCTACTTCCCACTTTTACCACCTATGGTTCAATGTCATATACTTGTTCACTATATTCATGGCACTGCGGCCCAACCGTCGCTAAACTTTGCTATAACCAAGGAGGTTACGCCGAGCAAGCTTAACATGGCAACCCTTCCTGGTCAGATAGTGCTCAAAGTGTGTCTTTCTGATACTAGCTTTTTTTTAAAAGCGCCGCACTTCTTAGCGAACTTCGGCGACATTGAGCGTATCTATCTATCTATCTATCTATCTATCTATCTATCTATCTATCTATCTATCTATCTATCTATCTATCTATCTATCTATCTATCTATCTATCTATCTATCTATCTATCTATTATCTATCTATCTATCTATCTATCTATCTATCTATCTATCTATCTATCTATCTATCTATCTATCTATCTATCTACCCCACTCATCATCATTCAGCCCGTGAATATGCTGTGATTTTTTTTTTCATGTCTCATGCCCTGTTGGCTATTAGGAACAGCTTACCACACTACGTGGTGCTTTAAATCGCCGAACATTTTTCAAACCCTACATTAACGTCGTAAATGTTATGAAAAGCTTAAAGGCCAGGACTCTAAATCGTCCCCATTTTTATTTTAGATGCGACGTAGCTCTTTGACTAGCCTGTGTAGCCCTGTCCCTCCGCACCAGGGCGGTGCCAAGAAGGCCACGCTTTTCCTCGCAGTGCGCACACGTGACGTCACTATATCCATATCCTGTCGCCGCTCACCGCGTGTCTTCTCTCTCGCTTCACCCTCTCCACCTCTTCACGCCAGCGTCATCTTCACCCTCTCCAATCCTCACGCCAGCGTCATCTCCTCACCCGTGCCCCCTCTCTACATCTGTCGGCGAGAAAAAGCCGTGGGTTGGTGCGCCGGCGTCTAGCCAACACCACCTAGATTTTTTAAGGCCCCTCCACGGCTCCATGACGTCACCGCACTACGACGGCTCTGGAGGTTCGGCTTGCGCGTGCGCACAGCTTTCCGACGCAGTTCCGCGTGCGCCTGAAGGCTTTCGAAGCTGAGGAAGGGCCAGTGACGTTTTTTTTTTTTTTCAGTCGGCTCCAATAAACGTTTTACTCGGTCGCAGAATCGTGGTTTAATTGCACAGAGTTTAAATGAATGTTTCTTCTGGTTTCCTTGATCGTATAACGAGTAACATTCAGGCATATCATTACTGATTTTGTATCGATGCGCAGGTGTACGAAAACACGTTCGTAATAATTTTTAAGGACCACGCACGCGATTTTGACAAGTCATGTTTTATTTTAGGAAAAAGAAACAGCCAGCAAAAGGTTATCAAACTGCTACAACAATAACTCATATGAAATACGTGAAGGCTGCCACAAATTTCTCAGCACACACAAGAAAAGATGCAGAATATGAAAATACAATACGTGAAGGCTGCCACAAATTTCTCAGTACACACAAGAAAAGATGCAGAATATGAAAATACAATGAAAAATCAGTTTCTAAACTCTCGCATAAAAAAAGAACAACAGTCACAAGCCAACACCCACAAGCAGAGTAGTCACTTCTTCAATGTCTTCAATTTTCGCTCTTTATCTCTTGCGGCCTTTTCAACAACCAACTGATCATTTTTTCGTTTGCACAGGTTATTCAAAAGCGTGTTTGCTGCTGCACTTAGGACATAATGCATTACCAACTGGGGACTGTGCCCATTTTCACACACATCAAAGTCAACATTGTTGTTTATCGCATCATGAGTGAGTGCCAAGAGAGCCTCCTTTTGATTCGGTAACGCATGAAATTGCTGTGCATGCTGTTCGCTCCTCAGTTTGTCAAGAACTATTTCCGCAGTAACAACGGCATTTATTATGGCAGGCTGCGGAAACTTGAGACCACCACGTGTCATGGACTTGATCAACTCTCCGCCTTCAACTTCAATGTCGTCATCCAGCATTAAACTTTCTTTGCAAGCCATGCACAAAAGCTTCTTGAATGCAGCATGGGCGCAGTAGCCAGCAACGTATGTGATTGCTGGGAGATTTGGCACCTTCACGTCATAGTCCTCATCCGTTATTTCAATCTCAAAATCATCAAGTACAGCATTATTCACTGCCACCGAGTCTGCTGCAGCCTCCATTTCTGGGAGCTCCAGAACGTTCTGCAGACGAAGCTTTCGCTCAGACTCATACACTTGTCTGATGGAAATGTGGTACTGAGCACCGGAGAGTTGGCGGTATTTGCCGAACCTCTCTTCCAAAGAGTCCGTCTGAAACTTCCCTAAAAGCACATAATCAAAGTTCAGCTCATTCAGGCAATACTCAGCAACCTTTACTAAGGTTTCTGTCGTGAGACGGAGGGCACTGTGAGTCTCTCTTGTGAGCACACCTGCGTCAAATCTTAGGGACTGCCACAGATCTAGCCACTCCACTATATTCAGCAGAAAGTGAACCTGTGGACTTGTCACTGATGCAATCGGTGACTGCAGCTCATCCCGAAGTCGAATGCCCTTGTTGCATGTTTTTACATTAACAATGCTCCACCACTTAGTTATGAGTTCTAAAAACTCTGCTGTGCCGGCCACATGCTCGAGCTGAAGTTTAGGCCCACACGCTCGAAGAGCTGCTGCTGTAGACGGGTTGAAAATCTTTAGCGCGAGCTTAACATTTTGTCGTTCCATATTCGAAGGATTGAGAGATTTTGTCGTAAGCGCCGGTGCAGATTTGATGAGCTGACCCTGTTCTTTCAAGTGTAGTTCTCGAAGTGTACGAAATGACGCTGTAAGTATGGGTGGCTGTACGCTAGATTCTGTGGCGCTAGGAAAGAACATGCATGTTCCAGAGTTTCGCTGATTGAGCCAGTTGTTCCTCACACACTTCATTAAGTGCACAGGATCAATCAGGAAAAAAAGAGGACGGTCAGGGTCAGCAGGGTGTGGATACACACTCTGAAGTTTGCACGGTGCCCCAAAAAGTGACATTGTTTTGCGGTTGATTGAGTTATTGTCAGTTATTACAGCAATGATACGCAACCCAACATTTTCCAACTGAGTAATGATACTACGCAGAAGAGTGTGCAGCTCCTCCGCATTGATGCGCTCTACTGGCAGTATGTGCACAACATTCTTCTGACTTGAAAGTAGGCTTTGCATCATAAAAACATGCGCTGTTTTTGCTGCATTAGGGCTATTGCTAGCCGCACCAACAATCGTTCCTCCCTTATAGTCAAAATAAGGCTGCAGGTGAATTTCATCCATCATGAGAACAACAATTTTTTCGTGCTCTTTCATAGTAGTGACCAGCTTCTTTGCATACGAAAGAAAAGAAGCGCCTTGCTGCTCAGCTTCTGGGCTTACATTGTATGAATTACACACACGACGTATAGTGGATGGATGGGGCAGCCTAACATTACCGGTACTGCGCAAGAATCTATAGGCATGCGGAGAAATTGTAAATAAAATGCTCGAAAGTACCAGGAACTCTGGAGAATACCGAGATTGCTTGCTATGCCTGACGAGAAGAAGAGAAACTTGCTCTTTCAAAAAACGGATGGCATTGAGTCGTTCAACATCTGCCAGTTCACAGTTTGAGGCATCTTCAAGCAGAGAAAATGCCAACTTGAGCAAACCCTCAATTTTGTCTTCATGCTTACAGGAAAGTTCTCCATGTAAGGACTCTACAGAATCTAGCAGGCGTGTCAAACAACGAATGTCGTTCACTTTGTGAGGGATGGCACCAATGCCATCAATCGTAGTAAGCTGCACATCTTGGCAATGAACTTTCACCGTGAGATCCTCTAAGACCGTTATTGACAGCAAAACACGAGGGGCGTCTTCAAGAGCAAGATTCAGAAAATGAATGCACGCAGGTCTAGAAATAACACTCCAAAAGTTCGAAAGCTTCATTTGAGGAAGGCATTCCAGTAGAGCCTGGAAGGTGTCAAACTTGTGCTTTGTTTCCTCCTCCTCATGTGTCTCAAGTGAATTGGCGATGGCTTCTCGTAAAGAGGCTGCTTCAAGGCGCATCCTTTTCTCAGCGGGCGCCTCTCGCGACGTAGCGGCGGGCGCGGAAAGGTACGCTGGACAGTTCGGGAATACACTGGGAACGGCGTCGGAGCTGAGTCGAGCGATCTTCAGTTTTGCCTCGACGACTTTGCCGGTTTTTGAGTCCACATACTTAGAGGAAGTCAGAATGTCTGACTCTCTAAAGTGCCGCTCGCAGACCTGTAAAACCAAACCCAAATAATGTTAGCGTTATTAAGACAGTTAATTTCATGAGCGAAACAGCAAATTCATAACTTAAAACTAGCATAGTTCAATACGTCACCACAAAAACGTCGCGCAATAAATATCACGCGTTTTAGACTTACCACTGAGCGCTTTCCGGGTTCAAAGTCGGCACGCGGAATGGCTTTCAACCACCTCCTCCTTCTGTCGGCATCAGCTGGGAAAGTGAAGACTCGCACAGTCTTTTCTCCGTCGTAATTCCCGCGGCAGCCGGGAACACAACAGTGCCCAGGCATTTTCACAAATCACTCAGTAACTGTCACACAGGCACACATCACTTTCTCGGACGTTGTCCAGTAGTTCCCTTCAAGTAATCACGGCCGTCAACAAAGCTTCAGCAAATGGCAAGGAAAGAACGGAGAAACAGCACGTAATGCATATGAAACGCACGTGCCACGGTGCAAACAAAGCACTCAAATGAAAAGAAAAACACGACGATGGTGATGTTTACAGCAATAGTGATGCCCTTTCTGAAATGCTTCTTTCGAAAGATTACAAAAAAAACTACTCAATTTAACTTTTAAAAATTACACAGTTTAAAAAAAATAAAACAAAATACTTCTCACTTTTTTATATTTTTTTATTTTCTAAAAGAGTTAAATTAAGTATTTTTCATTTTGTCTACGAAACCATGGCTCACAGTAATCAGCATGAACGGCGGCTGGCTGCCGCTCGAGCAGGAACGGCAGCCGCTGCCGTCAGATGGCGCTACCGCACCGGTTGCTCCCGCCGTCGTAGTGTGGTGACGTCACGCGTCAAAGGAGAATTCGTGGAGGGGCCTTAAAAAATCTAGGTGGTGTTGGTCTAGCCCGGTCATGGTTCCGCGGCGCTTGCAATCTGTACAGCGCGCCGGAGCTTGCCGCGCGATCACACCGACGGGCGGGACGCCGCCGGGGCATGCTTCCAGCTAGTGGGCGCGCACCTTTCCCGGCCGTCGCCAGCGTTGCGGGTTAGCGAAGCCGATCGCGTTCGCGAATGGCGACGTCACGCCTAGAACAGCGACGAGGCGCGAGCCAAGGAAGCCAAGCGCAAGCGTCTTCAACGCGTCCCTTCTCCCGTGTCTTTGCGTTTCAAACGTTTACTTCTGTAAACGCTACACCAAGTTTCGCTCCCGTTTCCACCGGGTCAACGCCATGCGCACCGCTGCTGCTTCGCATCCCATGACGGTTTTCTTCGGGAAGATGGGGCAAAGTTTTTTTTTTATAAACACTGATGCCTTCCAATGTTTGTTTTAGTAAAAAAACGACATGGTACCATGTTTTCCAATGTGGGTGGAAGCGTCCTAAGAAGACATGGTTCCTAAAAACTATTCTCAAGCACATACTTTTATGCTAAGCTGCCTTAGTTAAGTCTCACCGTCTCTCGCTTGTGCTCCAGCAAGTACTTGAGTACGGGGCTGTTTCCGGAGTAAGGCGGAGACCAGGAGAGCGTCACCGCGCGGCTCGTTGTCTGCGTTGCCTCCAGCCCGCGTGGCTTGTCCGGGGGCTCTGAATGGATGATGTAGTGAGAAGTAACACCATAAGCAATTCTCGCGTTAGAAAGGAAGTATGTTTACGAAACATTGCTTGCTTCTATTTATACGCTGAATCTAGCCTCTCTAAAATCATACTAACAATACTCTAAAACGAATGGTAAATGCCGACTGGACGCTGAATCGAACACAAAGCACATACAAAACACGCAAAAGAAGAAGTCGCTCGAAGAAGTGGACATGTGCGCGTTCGCGTTTCGTATTAGGCTTGTGATGTCTGCTCATCATTAGGACGAAAGTCCTTAGCTGTCTCATCAAACAAGAAAATTTTCCGCTGGTTCCGGCGTCAACACGAGAGGTGCAAGAAATAAATATGTGATGGTGTCACATTATGACGCCATCAGGACTTCAAAAGTCGCTAAAATATGACTTCATCATGACATAGATGACATAAACTGAAGCCAGTTAACCAGACGGTACGTCATGATGACATCACATGGCATGGTATGTTAATTTGTCATAGTTGGTAACGGTGGTCTGGTGGCTAAGGTAGTAGGCTGCTCAACCGCAGGTCGCGTTATCAAATCGAGGCTGCGGCAGCTGCATTTTCGATGGAGGCGAAAATGCTGTAGGTTCGTTAGCTCTGATTCGGGCGCTCGTTAAAGAACCCCAGGTGGTTCAAGTTTCCGGAGCCTTCCACAATGGCGTAGCTCATAATCAAATGGTGGTTTCTGGATGTTTAACCCCACATATTATTATTATTATTGTTATTATTATTATTATTATTATTATTATTATTATTATTATTATTATTATTATTATTATTATTTGAATCTTTTCATAATTGATATTTTTACGTTAGGCTCTGGGTTTTATGATCCAAACTGTCGAGGAATACATTGAGCCGGCTATAAGGTGCTACATCTGCCTGAAAAATGGGCACATGGCTAAGACGTGCAGGGAAACCAAGAGGTGCAAAATGTGTGCGTGTGCACATGATTTCAAACAAAGCACGTCGAAGCGACAAACTACGTGTGCAAACTGTGCTAGACCACATCCGGCGCCGTTTTCAGGCTGCCGCCGAAACAATGTGGCATTGGCGGCACAAAAGGAGGGAATTGTGAAAGGGTACCATAGGATATAGAGAGGTCCATCGCCCAATGCGGATATAGTCCTAGAGTTTCCTGCGCAACAAAGAGTCGCAAAACCGATGTACCAGGACTAAAACTTGGCTTTGTTGAAGCGCTGGGCAACAAAACGCCCCTGGGCCCATAATTCTTAGCGTCAGCAAAGAAGTCCGGGCCCAAGAACATGCTGACGTACGGCTTAGCTGAGAGCCCGGTAAGCTTCACCCCACTCATCATCATTTACTCCGTGGATATGCTATCAATTCTTCAAGGCAGTGCTTCCTGCGCCGCGTGGTGCACGAGACTATACCACACAGAACTGGCTCCTGCGGCAACGAAAGCGATGTCACGTTGGCAAAATAATCTTGAGACTATTCAAATGAACAATTTATTACTTCATAATGTGCTAACCATACAAATATATTTAACAAAAAGTGTTTGTTCAGTCAGTTAACATACATTTGCTGTTTAAGGACATATCACAATCTCGTTAATTCCAGCGGGCGCCGCGAAAAGTAAACAGTTGCAAAGGTGGTATCTGAGAGATAATTAATCAGCAACATTAAGTTTCTCACTATGATGTGTGGAGTATTGTTGTTAGACGTACCGTATATTGAGACTGCAATATCAAAACGTTGTGTGGTCAACGGTGAGAGTATCCTTGCTGCTCAGTTCCTCATTTTCCTGTCGCGAAGGACAAGGTTGACGAAAAAATAAATGTTTTTTCATTGTTCGTGTGAATTCATGAACGCAAAATAATCTTCAGTGCGGCACCGAAGTCGTTTTACGAAACCCGTGACCTCCGTAGGCCAATGCTACTGTATTGCAGGCTTTCTCGGAAAGTTTGAACACGTATCAGCTGTTCTCATCCTTCGCTAGGTGAATGCTGCTGTGGTCTCACAGGCACTGTTATCCAGCAAGGCAGACAACCTGTTCGGCACTGTTTTGTAGGTAGAGGAGCTAGCGCAGTCATCACTTGCCATTAGGCATCGTTTTTCAAGTGCTGGTCACTTAGAGCACTCTGGAAAATCAGTATTCTGGAGTGACTAAGTCTGCCGAATACCTCGTGAAGGGGGGACGGTACGCTGAGCGACATAACAAGGTTTCATGTTACACATTCGCTCTAGCTACAATAGGCTAGAAGAAACAGGCACTGCTTGCTGTTTTAAAAATTATTGCAGAAAACGTCTCCACCGCTATTTGCTATGGTTATCATCTGCCAGCCGTGCACCGCACTCGGAACAGACGCAATAAAATAGCGTCAGCCAGAGCTAAATTTTAGCGCTACAGTGACGCCAGCCCAAAGTTTCACCCATTGATAGTCGAGGAATGTTGAAGTTTGATTGTAAAAAATGCCATGTCCTAATTAGTGCTTTTTTGTGATAGTACATAACCACAAGCCATTCGAGAAATTTAGGCGCTCAGTGACTCGTTTCTGAGACCACGCCTGTTGCAGTGCGCCTTCCCATCATCAGAACTTTGATAAGCCATGTAAATCAGCATTGCGGATGCGCGTGCTGGAGAAACCGATGCAGACATTCGCATCTGAATTTTGCGTGTCCTCCTGTGCCTCACTGACAGTGATCATTAACTTGTAAAACCGCCTATCACAGTAAATATAGCCAAATATGCGAGGGCTTTTAAACGTCTAATATCAAAGGGCCTCTAAACTGGACCACCAGCAGCGCAGCAGCAGCAGCAGAAAATCCGGATGACGGGATGCCTATGACGAGGTGCACTGAAAGTTGCATGCCGATTTGGCGAAGTTGTGTCATATTCAAATGATTCAAACAGCTTGTCTAACCGGAAAACTGCATGTCGTTGTTTTCGCGCGCCGCAGGAGCCGTTTCTGTGTGAAGGCGGCTCGTGCGCCACGCGGCGTAGAAGTCTCGGCCATTTTAAAACCATATACGCCGCATTACAAATGGTCGGTCTGTATACAATCTGGGCTACATCTGTGTTTAGGCGCGCCGGGGATCTTCGACGACGACGGACATGGTGAGAGCGTAAACAGCTTAACCCTTAAAAAGAAAAAAAAAAGGATAGCTTAGGCTATGGATGGCCATAGACGAAAGCATGTGGCACAATGTGTGTACTCCACAGGCGAAAAGGAATAGGCACTGCTAGCTGCTATAAAAATTATGGCAGAAAACTTGTCCACCACTGCTTGTTATGGTTATGTCCATCAGACTGGTGGGCCTGTAAAAAGCAAAGCCATACTGCGTTTGTATTACATTGAAGTTACTTTAAAGGAAACGTTTCTGGGAGATACGTTCCACTTATTGATGCAGCAGACATACAGTCACACCCACCCACCCTGGACGACGACCTGGAAGTTCGTGTCGTCTCGTCCGTAGGTGTTCTCGGCATAACAACTAAACAACGAGGAGTCCCTGCGGTCGACGCTCGGTATGCGGACGACGTACTCCAGGGCTTCACTCCCGGCTTTTCCTCCACCACGTACCTGTGAATGTGAATGAAAAAAACACAAATAACTTATATCAAATTATGTTTCGAATGGTCTTGTGCCATAAGCTCTCATCCGTTTTACATACTTTTTGTGGCTTATATTCCGAACTCTCGTTCTTTTTTCAGCGTATTTTAAAAGTTCTAAACGTCGACCTCCCGCTTGGTACCTTTATGGCTACAGACGTAAGGGCACCGATCAGCTACTGTGGCTTAACAAATCCTCAACAAAGTTTTCAACACACACCCGTACAAAGCAAGAGTTCGAATTGCAATCACATTGAGCATTACGATTAATAGAACGATCTCCAATTGATCTTATGCACTTCTAAGCAATCAATATGAAGTTACTTTTATATTACGAAATGATCCAGCCTTACGAAGCAGAACGTCAAAGATACGGTAAGTTTCTACGGTTTTTTTTTATTCTGCTTACATCACGACTACAAATAGCAACAAGAAATTACAAAGCTAGAGGAGAAGTTGAAGAGTGTTCCCCTTTCGCCCTACTCTTCCTCTAAAGCGAGAGTGGTTAAGAGCTTGTTTCACAGAAATTCCGGTGTCTACGTCGTTGGTTTTCAGAGAAATATCCCCATCTTGTCCCCGACCAAAATGACGACAGGATGCAGCTGAAATAAATAGTTAATACGTTTGTTCGAGTGTCACCGAACGAGCGCTCAAAAAGGGCGCGCCGCCAAATTCTCGCGACAAACCGCCGGAGTGACGCCACGAGGTCAACGAAAAAGAAAGAAAAAGAAAACAAACATCTAAAGGCTCCCCGGGCGCGCGAGCCTCTCCCCTCGGAAGCGTGGCTTCGCCGACGAACCTCCTCACCCCACAACGGCGGCCGAGCAAGCACTGGAAATTTCTAGAAGGAAAGGGGCGTGTTATGCCGGGTTGAGTCATCTGTCGGGAACGGCCCTCGTACAGTCTCGCGCCTTCCCCCAGCCTCCGCTGCGCATCGCGCCGACGAAATGATGAGAACTTTCTGGAATGTCGCGCGGAAGGTGTTTAACCGAGCAACGGGGATGAGAGATCAGGAGAAGAAGTGAGGTTTCCTGGAAGAGAAACTTCGGAGGAGAAGACGGAAGTTAGCGCCAGAGCGCGTAGGGATTCTGCCGTGTAGTCGGCGAAGGTTTTGTCTGTGGAGACAAAGCAGGAGAAGAAGATGATTTCCACCTGAGGGGTGACGACTCGAGCTACAGACAAGAGTGTGTGTTTACCGCTATCGAGCGAAGACGCGTGGCAACAGCTGCGTGTGTGAAGCCGACGTGTTTCCGGCGAAGAAGTTTGAAGCTTGGAGAGTGGCCAATTGAAGACGCGAGGTTTCCTGGAAGAGAAACTTCGGCGAGGTTTCCTAGAAGAGAAACTTCGGGGCATCGGAACGACAGAGGTTTCCTGGAAGAGAAACTTCAAGGGGCAGCGGAACGACAACAACGCTGGACTTTGAGTGAGTGATTCTCGGAAGAGTATCATCCAGACTTTTGTTCCAAAAACTTTGGACTGAATAGGTTTTCTATCTCTTTAGTCTTTAAGTGTCTTGGTTGTTCAATGCATGCGACTTCATTGTAGTGTGTATTGTTGTCTGTGTCCGTTGTTTCGAGTGTGGCTGATTGTACTGTGTAGTACGTTGATTGATTGGTGACATATTGTACTCACTTATTGTGGAGTGTGCATACTTGTGTATTGTTTTTGATCTGCCGTTATTGAGAATATAATTTTGTTTGTTTATCAACTCTCGGCTCTGACTTGTTCTTTGGGCCACAGCCGGCGTCCGCTGGCGCGCCAAAAAGGACCACTTCTAAATTGTCCACGCTTTCGTGGTGCGGTTCGGGGGGCCGATACTTCGGTCCTTGGAATTAGCCCGGCGATCGCCTCCCTAATTAACGGGACCGTGTGACATCGAGTGAGAGTCGAACGCATGCCGTCTAGATGACAAGCAGCGGTTCTAACACAGAGCCACGGTATCGCTTCAAAATTCTCCTGAAAACAAATATGAATTACATATACTGGGAGGGGTCTCGTTAAAGCATGTAAAACTATTTGGCAGAACCCACGTATACCTTGGGAATCGATGTTATGCGAAGCATGCGGATGGAAGGTGAATGTGCTTGTGGTTTTTTGTAATTAGCGAAACGTTGCGAAGTTACGCTAAGTTTATGTACAAATGGGCGCACAGATAAACGTTACACAGCTGCATATGTTTTACACCACCAGGTATTTACAGTTGCGTAACGATGCCAACAGCAACGTGGATATTAGCTACACCAGAAGCGGTAAGCTAATGTAAAGTACTGCTACTCGCAAAGATCGTAGCCCTGAACCCTGCTACATAAATAAACTTAAGCCACATCACACCAGACTACAATTGATGGTAACCTGACGTGGCTGCTGTATCGTAGGAGTACATATATAAAGCTTATAAAACTCGAACACCAGCACGGCAACCACAATTGACGTTACACGAACAACAGGGCCTCTTTGAAAAGTAGTTCCTAGACTTGGCGTGGCTCCGGGGTAGAATACTTCATGTCCACGCAAAACGCTAGGGTTTTATTCTTGCAGGGACAATGACATTTATTCTTTGCTTTCGTCTAGGCGAACGCTTACATTTTTTTTCTTAGCGATCAAGCATTTAAATTACCCATGTGTGCTCGCGCCATTCCTGGGTAGATATAAGCTTGTGGCACATCCCGCATTGCAGAGGCGCATACCCGCCACCGGATTTGTGTCACTGTATTTTCGGGAAGTGTTTGACGACCTACGCGGCGTCATTGTAACGTCATTCATGTCATGACCAGCGAGTCGTATTTGTCAAACCATTTTACCCTGCCATACTAATTTTAGTTCACCCAAGTTAAGGGGGTGTTTATGAGAGCATTGAGACGTTAGCGGATAGATAGATAGATAGATAGATAGATAGATAGATAGATAGATAGATAGATAGATAGATAGATAGATAGATAGATAGATAGATAGATAGATAGATAGATAGATAGATAGATAGATAGATAGATAACCAAAATGCACAAATAAATAGGCCAGACTCGCAAAGCTTGATCAAAGGTATGACGAAATTTGGTATAGGTCACTGATCTCCTGCCGCTTTACACGAAATCTAACCACAGGATTTGTGAGATATGGTGAACTTGTTGAATGGCAATCGTCTCAGTGTAAATATCATTTCTTTCTAAAAGAGTTCGAATATGTAATTTTAACCAGTTTGGAAATAATTTAGGCTAACACAAAAACCTTGTGATACAGGCATCATATATGGAAGTACACTGTACATTTCTTTTTTTCTTATAAAACAGAGATGCTCCAAATTACGAATACTACTATTTCTCGGTAGTGGTTCCTGAAAATACGTCACTGCATTACAGTCGGTATATTTAAAGTGCTTGTTACATACTAATGAAGAGTGGAAAGCCGTTTTCGAAGCAGAAACGCAAGAGTCGTCTACAGGATGGCGGGAGAAACCACTCGTACAAAAGTTATAAAGCACACTTTTAAGGCAAATAGAACGACGACACAAGACAAGAAGGTGTTTCACAAGTGTAGGTATGAGCCACAGTTTTTAGGGTCTACTCTACTATACCCTCGAAACGCGCAACGTTACACGCACAGTTGTTCATTCGGTTACGGCACATGTGAGGCATGCAGCGAGAAACGAAGCATGGCTAGCAGTTTAGAAGACAATGCGCACGGGACCTGGTTATGCTATCGCGTTCTACTCTTGATCGCGAACCTTATCGTTCCCAGCAAGTTTTGATCGTTTTTTAATGCGATAGCATTATAGTTCATGTCACAGAAAACCCGACGCTGTGAGCGAAAAGTTGTCTGTGCATTTGTGACCGAAAACTCAAGTTACCGAGATAGCCGCGGGAGGCCGCTACTTGTCCACACGTGCGCGTGCGATCACATTGAAAAAGCCGCGCGTTCGAAGAAAAAAAAAACTGATCAAGGCCACGAGGCGTGGTAGTTTCTTTGCCCTGCCACCACTCCCTGCTTAGCTTTCAGCGTTTCGTTAGAACGAGAGAAAGAGATAATGCAATGCAGCCTGCGACAAACCTTTGCAACTCCACTCGCACTAGACGGAAATTTCGCAGCGTTGAATTCCTGAGGCAATAAGCTCCTCTAGTGAATTCATTCCTTGGTTACTTGAAAAGTGTTTCAGGGCTCCTTTAACGCATTTTGTTCAACAAGTTTCACGACGAAAACAAGCCCATTCGGCGATAATAGCGCACGCTGGTCCAATCTACTGTGTGCGTGTTTGTGTGCGTGCGTGTGTATGTAACAAAACATATTAATAAGTATGCACTTAGTGGTTTAAGGGTGCACTACGGGCCGGATTTCACTATCGCGTCCAACTCTTAAGGGCGAAGTTTAAGGGTCCCCCGATTTTTAACATTTTTATCGGTTTGTCTCATTATTTTCTGCTCTGAAATAAGCTTTTAAAATTTATAACTTAACAATTTATTAGGTGCCCCAAAATACTAGGCACCGGCGACCAGTAATCGTCTTTTGCGGTCAGCCTGCCGTCAAAGTTGAGTGCAGTCAGCAGAATTTAGATAGAAAGTGGTTTGTACATAATTATATTGCTGCAGTATTCCGCAAGTGAAGCAGAGATTGTGCTTAAGAGCACAATGTCTGCTTTAGCACTCATCTCGATTCCGACAGCAAGCTTTCCACGTGCTGACGCTTTGGCCGGCTAATGAGTGCATAAGGATGCGTATCCGCTATGCCTATAGTCTCGTGCCCAGGTGCTTGCTTCCTCGGCGTTTTGTGATACTAACACCCTCTAGAGAAAGATTACGGCTGACGTCAATCACTTCCATTTGGCCAAGAGGCTCACCGCAGTTACTGTGTAATCTCTGCAAGGTACGTTCGACACTCGCACTATTTTTTGTAGCGCCAGAACTGACGGCATAACAGTCATTGGCACGGCACTATAGGACAAACGCCGCCTCTGGGAACGCAACAGGTATTCGTTCGATCACGGAGCCAGAATAATTGGCGTGGCTGCCGCTATATAGAGAGATGAGTTGAAGAAAGCGAGATTAGAAAGGCAGGGCACTAGCTTTTCGTATCACGTCGTGGAGATATGTTCTAGGAGGATTGTGACCATTTTCAGGGCTCCGGAAGAATAATCTTAATGCTGAAGTGTAGTGTTTTATTCCTTTAGTACGACAACGTTGTGCTGAATGCTAAAGAAGACCATTGCTACCTTGGCTCCGCTGAAGGGTTGAAGGCATGTCTGTCTCTCGTCCAGGTGATCGTGATGGGTGGCTCGCCGACAGCTCGGCAGGTGAGCGCCACGCTCTCGCCTCGACGAATGGTAAGTGCCTGAACTTGCGCTCAAAATGGGCCGCCACTGTATATGAGCGGTACACAGAAAGAAATGGACAGATTTCAGTGATTTACGTCATTTACATAGGCTGCTTCTATATACACAGGTTGTTACTGTGGTGAGAGTGATAATTTAATTGACGAAATTAGCAGTGCGGTAACATGTCGTACTGCGTAAGCTCATACCTAGAAAGTGCACCAGTGCTCATAAACAGCAGTGCCATATATTAGGGCCATGTAATGCTCGCTTTTTGTTTTACGCCAAAAGCAGTTTGTAGCAAATCGTGATAATTTTGACCGGACTATGTACATCACCGAAAACATTACGCTGAGATGGCGCATACCTTGACATACGACTTGGTTATCCCGAGCAATCGCATATCCGTGTCTTTATACTAGAAATGACGACATCGCTTTTCAAACCGTCAGCTCAGTAAAGACATGTACAGACGCGAACAAAATTCTGGGAACTACGGGAGCGTGTGCAAAACTATGGGTTTTATGAGAAAGTGCACAGCTGCTCCCTCTGACGGCTTCACAGCTAAGCTCGAGAGCAATAGTTAATCGCATGTACATCAGAACGCCCGAGGAAAGACAAAGCGCCATTTAGACGGTATATGTGCCCTCGCTAAGTGTCGGTATCGTGAAGAAGGCTTGAATGGCACGGTTAAACAAGGCAGTTTCTGTGGAACTGATAGTAATCGCTGTTTAAATAAATGAAAACTGGTGCTTTTTTTAATAAAGCACCACTAAAGGCAAATGAGAATCTATGCAAGAGAGAAAGCTCACTGTATGAAAACGTAATATTACGCGAATATTACGTTGAAAATATTGCCAAAAGGCAATATTATCAACAACAGTGCCTTACTTACCAAAAAGTTAAGCTAAATGTGTCACATGATGTGTGCCACGAGGGGGGCAATCGCAAAATCATCCAGATGATGTGAGAGCGTCCGCCTACAATTAACCACTAGTAATTGAACCCGCTGCAATACAAAAAACTTTCTATGCATCAAGAGACATAATAAAATGCTGCTTGTCCGTTTCCGTTCGATTATAGAAAAAAGAACCTGCCTGACGTTACTAAGAGAAATGGCGCGAGTACTTCAAAAGTTTTGTTTTAACTCATTACATTAGATAGCTGGTCCTATCTAGTGGAGCGAAGTTGAACCAAGCAAGCGGGATCATGAACTCTGAAATCGCAGAAAATGGCTTAATGGTCATTGTTGTTACTGTGGCTCCCACTACTTTGCCTTTGCTGCTTCTAGTGTCGGTGGCTGCGTAGTAAAGGCGGGCAACCTTAGGCATGAAAACAGTAACGTTTAACAGTGCGCTTTCACGCGTGGGTGACTTGAAGGGCGCTAGCGCGACACGGACTAATAAAACGGGATTTTATTGCAATACAGGTACTTTCTTGGCACAACACTGGCACTACGAGTTTCTGGACCACTATTTCATCAATAAACGTCTACGTAATATTCACCTTTGGTGTCCGTCTGAAGTAGTGATTGAAGCACTATTTTATTAAAATGAATGATCCAAAGTTGCATGCGGTTTCTCGTCCGAGATTGCTTACCGTGAACATCAAGTTTGACCACGGTTGAGATTCCTGGCCCGACACCATTCAACGCCTGGCACATGTAATGTGCGGCATCGGTGGTGTCGGCTTCGCGGATGCTCAGGGAGCCGTTCTCCAAAATCTGAATGTTGGCGTTGCTGATGATCACAGAAAACTGTCGTCCTCCATCTGAGCCTGCTGTGGACACATAACCAAATGGAAAAGAGGAACCTGTAATCATTCGGCTGTGTTCTGTCAGAAATATTCTCAAGTAGCATAACAACTGCAATGTACTACGCATATAAAATTAGCCAGTGACTCCAATAGTCACTGGCTAAAATAAGGCAAACGATATCTGAACATATATGAGATACATTGATCATAACGTTCTGGGAGACGTTAGATAGACTTGTGGCTGATGGTTGTCTCGTTTTTGAAGTCCTCTATTTGACGACCACTCGCCAATCGGGGCCCTGTCCACGGACTTCTCTAACCATCTCTCAATATTTTACTTTCTTCTATATTTTTACTTATATCGATATATCTTTCGATCCCTCCTTATTTCTTCCTTTGTAAACCACTTCTGAGGTGCCACACTTTCCTGCAGGCATTTGCGGGGTTCAGTTTTATTTTCACTTTTTCATCGTTTACTATCCCCCTTCTCCCCATAATGTTTTTCGTAACACAGATATGTATTCAAAATCCTGGTTTCTGAGATGATGCGGCCATGAAGAAAAAAAATTAAGCAAGCGAGCGAGAAACCACAGAAAAGCGTAAGATAAAACATTCGTGTTCTAGCTTTTGTATACGCAGGTTGACAAGCTCGCCTGTTCGTTCAGCGCTTTCTTTAATTTAGGTACATCAGCTGACAACCAATGGATCCTAATTTAGTTCCTGCCCTCAGTACAGAGGAAAATATAGGTTTCATTGCGAGAGCAGTTGTGCAGAATCCAAAGAAAAGCTCTTCCCGCGTCACTTATCCACTTGCCTAACACGACTTGAAGACGACAGCTATATGCGCATTACTGCAACCGCATGTAATCATGTACCTTGCTGCCATGCAGAGCTCGGAATTACACTATCTGCAGCCTGAGTAAGCTTATGTGCGCACTACCTGCCGTTCATTACAGCCACGTAATAATGCCCTAGAGCATTAAAGGTTAGAAATAGTACATGACCCCACGGGCCGTCTATATAGGTTATCTATGAAGGGCTTGCGCATAAAGCTCTTGTAGAATATAAGTATGAATACCATTTCTGCGTATACTGCCTTTCTGGCCGTGTCCCACGCCATTTTCGCTTTATTCCATAGCCATTTCCATTTTTTTGTTATGCTAGTATTGCAAAGATAACCTGAACGCTCAGCTCTTGCTTGCCTTGAGACGCGAGGCGAGTAGGTGGTCGTGTGACGTTCGCACAATTTCGACTCGACGCCGCTTTTTCATTCGAAGTCACGTACCCGCGAAACGTATAATACTCTCGCTTAAAATTCGTCATTGCCGTCTGTGTGTTGGTTCATCAGAATTGAAGCCCAGTTTTATAGAGGTGGTATTGTCTTTTAAAAGAGCAAAAAGAATAGAAAACCTCACTTTCGTAACTGTCCTCATTTAGGGCGCTTTATGGAAGTACACAAAGAAAGCCGTGAGAAAACAAACAAAAACAAGAGACGCACGAAAGGCCGGTGAACAACCCTACAAAGGACGCCAGAGTTACTAGACACGAAAGAAAAATTGAGCGGGAGAGAAATTATAGAAACAAGGGGGGATGCAAGCGGCATGTTCCTCCACTTCAGTCAGCCCTGTAAGGAGTAGCCAGACGTTCGATGAATTGTATGGCTGATATAGCTTCATATTGTGCAAATTTTGTGTGCAAATGATAGATCGCTATTCTTGCGATTATTTCCACAACACACAAGCAGAGGTGCGCCGAAAAATGACAAAAATTAATGGTGCTCTCAAACAAGGAATTACATGTCATGAATTCGTGCGAGGACTTGCAGAATAAAAAAAACTGAATTTTTTTTTTTGAACCCCAAGCTTACTATAGCAGCGACGCACTAGTATTTCTCAGCACTCACGGTTTGCTTTTTTCCACCTAATGACTGGAACTGGGAATCCATCAGCTTGGCAGTCGAAAGTCACCGCCTGGCCCATAATAGTTGCCTTGTCGACTGGCTCCTGACGCCATCTTGGTGGCACTACGGAAAAAATAATACGAAGCGCGTGTGCACAGCATAAATATTTTGTAGCTGCCAAGCTTACAGACCATACGGTGCACACTCAAGACCTCATTCCAGTGAAACCTTATATGCCATTACTAGCATATATATATCGAGATTACGTGCAAGAGGATAGCTAGCAAGGTAGTTTTGATCGCATTTTGAAAACTGGGATTGCGTGCTGCTCTATGCTCCGGATTTTTCAAGGTGTGCCATAAGGGTCCCTAAAACACACCAAGTCTAAAGGCGAGACAGTAGTTTCCTTCTCGCCTTGACTACCCTTCCTACAAGTGTTCCTGCTATAGACTCATTTCTTCATGAATCACCTGGAATGCTAGCAATAATTGCTCATCAAATCAGGATTCGGCGCTTCACGACGGCACGCTACTATCGCTCCTTGCGCAGTCGCAAACGCGACACAAAGTGCAGTCACTTCATCGCGCACAGTATAGTCATGCGAGACAAGGTAGAATTGGCGGCGACTGCACAAATAAACAGGATAGGTGACAGTTAACAACAGCTACCTCTTAGATTTCGACCAGTTGAGAGCTTACTTCTTCCTGACGCCAGGTGAACCAACAGCTGGCATCACTAATTGTGCCTCAAGGATGGGAGACGTCGCGACAGAATAACGAGCTAGTTACTCGTATTTAACGAGCCAAAATTGATGGAAGGTAGCAGAGAGACCACGCCTCCATTCGTGCCCCCACCTGCATCCTAATCAGGCCTATAATTAAAGACAAGTGCGCATTCACACATCTGAAACACACAAGCTTGAAACACCGCACGCACCTTGTACCAGCATCGGGGCTGTGTAGTTTGCCGAGGCTGCCTGGGTTGGATGCAACGCAGGTGTAGTTTCCCGAATGTAGCTGAAGTACGCCGGTGAAAGGAGAGGAACGACGTGTAGTCATTGGCTTTAGCGACCGAGGCTTCCAGCTCAGCGTCCAGCGGTCTTCCGTCCTTGAACCACTCGATGGTGATTGGCAGGTCTCCGTCAGAAACAATGCACGCGGCGCCCGCACGCTTGCCCTCTGTGAGATCGTCCGGAAAGCTGAATGGGCTCACGACTGGTGGAGCTGAAAAGTGTTCGGCAGAAACAGTTTCGCTTTAGCGAGCAGAATGTATTGTGTACGCATAAGTGCGTTGTAGAAGGCTGCGCGGCAAATTACACGGACAGCACTAACGGCTGAGCAATGACAAGAACAAGGGGATGATTCATATACGTGCTATAGATATACAGTAGCTTAGCACGTCTTTGTCGAGAGATGGGGTTGTGAGGTTGAGGAAAAAGGAGTTGTGGCGGCGAAAGGAGCTCCTATGAAAGCAATCAACGTATTGGTGTTTTACGTAGAAGAAACACCATACTGCACAAACTTCGAAAAAAATGCCAATCACTATTGTAGGTCTTGCATAAAATAATTCCTTATAAATTATTAGAGATCAAGAATGATGGAAAGAATAGAAAGACAAGGAGGTCAATCAGATGCTGGTCTGGTTTGCTACCCTTCACTGGGGAGAAGGGATATACAGAATAAAATACATAAACAAGGAGAAAGAAAGCACTGTCAGGGTACATGTGTGAGCTATGGAAATGATCAGTAACATAGAAAAAGAGGCAGTGTCATGTAGGCAAAATATATATATATATTTGCAAACTTTAAACTGTTGCAAGTAGTGGGTTACAGATACCTGTCTGTAAGCCCCCAGCCAAATTGGTTGGGCTCTGAAACAAAGTCTGCCACGAAGTTGTTGAAAGATATTTCGTGTAGGTGTCATCCGGTTAGGCCTTCGCTCAAAGATTTTCGCTTTCAAGTTATCTCTTATTCTTAATTTTTGACCGCAAGAAGATTGCAGAAACGAATGTGCTAGATTACAAATTATTAGGAAGTATTTTGTATTTGCAATACATTTAGTGGCCACATTGAAATAAATGACTTATGAATGATGCAATCACTTCACGCTGTAGAGATTAAATGCGAGTTTTTATCTTCCCTCTCGAGTTCCAGAATATGGGCGCGAAATCACATACGAAACATCTGCGCTTCCCTGACTCTGCTATTGTTGGTAAGCATACAAAATGCATGGACAAAATAGATGGAAGCAAAAGAAGAATCAATCTGCACGACTAAAGATACATTCCGCAGCGATGATAGGTCATTCCATGACTAGAATACCTTCAGGTAAAAGAAAAACACACTTTGGTTAGAGCTGATCCCTGGCGAATACATTAAAACGTAACTATAGTAAACGCACTGAGTTAAGCTCACTGTATTTCTAAGCATAACTGAGAAGCGAAATTTGCATTCACGACCTCAAAAGCGAGCTGTCTGCATGAACAATCGACTACGAATTTGAATGCCAGCAATTTAGCCTCAAATTTAGCATTCTGAAAACGCTCACCCCCTCTTTACGGCGTATTTCACGTGCTGTTTATTTACTACGAAGTAAAAAAAAAACACTTTTATTTTTCAAACAGTTTCATCACCTCGCTGCGACCACCATCACTGCGAGTAAATTTATATTCCCTATATATAAACAATACTTAGTGATCTTTACAACACAAAGGCATGCCAAGGGATTCACTAAGGTTACCACGCGACGGCAAAAATGCGGTGGAGATAAAGCTTAAGAACGGCACCCGAAAGTGCATTTCGCCTGCTATGTTTTCATAGGATGATTCACTCATCGGACTCTTTTATATGTTATTCTTTTTTTTGCCGTTAAGTTTAGTTGCTGGTGCTGGTGGGACTCCGATTGCCGGGCGCCGGTGCTTTCAACCTGTTTAGCATTTCCTCGTGCTCCCTCGGGCTTCTTGCGCGAGAATTGAGAGCAAACATATGCACGCTTGGTTTAGGTTTCTTTCTTGGAGTAATTTGATATCCTGATGCCACACTGCTCGGCTCAGCCACATCACTATCCAAAGCGCTAAAGAGTTCCCGCTCCCAGTGCGTCAAAAATGACGAAGTGTTGGTGATGGCATAAAAGCGCTTAGGTTTCGGGGTTAGAATAAACAGCCAGTATCGCGGTGGTGACAAGTCACTGCTGAGGAAAATGCGCGTGGCAATGGAGGAAAATGGGGCCGATAAAAAGACAGATTTCAAAAGGTCGCGCATGGTAAATGGAAGTAGGAAAGAAACGTGGATATGCATGTCTATAAAGTTTCGCAGTATTCGTTTGCTAATATATACAGAATAAGTATGAGATATGTAGCTTGGAAATCAATGCTTTTGAAATAAATAGCAGGCGTGAATGTGCGTTGATTTTGTTCTTGAACTTGATGGCTTCAGAACAATTGCTTAATACATTGCCCTAAAGAATAAAAAAGCATTCTTAGTTTGATACATTTACGCAGGGATACCGTGCCGATACATGACTGGTGCTAAGAAGAAAAAAAGAAACACAAAAAATCTAGAAAGAACCCTGAAAATATTTTTTATATTTTATTGATTTAGTTTTTATTGTTTTTTGATTTGTTAGGTGTTGTGCTCTTTGGAGGGCTGCTATAAAAAATTCAATGCAGGTTAGTCTGAATGGTCTACAGTAGCACTCAGGAAGGTCACAGCGACAGCCTTATTTGTAATAACAAGAAAGCAGTTTGTTTTACTCGAATTATAAATTTTCTCTTCGCAACCTTGGTCACAAAACATCAATCAAGATGTAGCTACATTGTGAGCATGAAATTCACGCCAGCTTTAGCTTAGGTATGTTGAGATTCATTTCTTAGGTGCCTAATAGCAGTGAATTATGAGGTTGAGTTGCCAATTTTTTCTCTTATGTATATCTTGAGCATATCTGCAATGAAGTCAAAGCAAAAACGGCAAGAACACCGACACAAAGGTAGTAGGAGCCAGGAAAAGATGGAAGATGGAAAATTTGAAAACGGGGATTGGGTTGGTGTTCGCTACAAGTGTACGCATCTTCTTCAAGGCTGCAACAGTTGCAGCAATGAACGAAACAAGTGCGCTTCTCGAAACCTCCGTTCTAGTAGGCTTCCTGTTGACCGATTTTCTATTGGACGAACTCCACTCTATTTACTTGAGATGTGATTATGATCTGAACTAAGAAAGCCTCGGAGAGGCGGTTTGGTGACAGTTGCATGAGAATCAACGCCTGTCTTGTCACATTAGCTTTTAACCCTTGCTCTTAGTGAACCTTTAGTGAACTTAACAATAGAGCATTTGATCCTCTGATGTGTCTAGTGCTAAATCATAACCGAAAGATCAACACAATCGACTGCACTAATAAGCAGGTGCTAGAACAGCGATACATTGACGCGCATGTTAATTCTTCGTACGAGTAATATACCAACAAAGCTGTGGGACCATTCCACTTCTAAGGCGAAAAATCTAAATGCCTTCGCTCTTCCCAAACTGTACGGTAGCTCATAAGCCTCGATCTGGGTTAACTTATATCTCCCTCCTCCAATAAAACTATGAGATCAGTGACGACGAGCATACTCATGACGTGCACCGCCAGTTGTCCTCTGGCTGTGTTTCCTTGGGAGTCCTTGGCAACGCACGCGTACCAGCCACTGTCCACGCTACGCTGCACCTCTGCCACAACCAGGCTTCCGTTGGGAAAGCTGTGCTGGCGATGGTTTTGTGGCAGTGATCGGCCGTCTGAAATGGTAAAAGAAGGAACAGAAAATTAAACAACGAACAGTGATTAAGTACAGTAAACCACTCAGTATTATCTATTTAGGTTCAGACTTCAGCAGCAGCTGTGCAAGAAAACGTTTATATAAACCTCTTTTTCATACAGATGTCACGTCATGCTTGAAAGAAGTTTCGCTTGCAAACAGGCATAAGAGGGGTTGCTTGCTGTTAGAGGCTTTTGAAAAAAAAAAATATATATATTCGTGCGAACTGAAACGTGAGTGTGTTGTTCCCATCTCGCACTTGCTCATCACGCAACTTGCGGTAAAACTTTGGTCTTTAATGTCCATAACATGCATACTTGCTTATCATGACCAACATTCTAGATGACTTTAAAACAATGTTCCATGTAACAGAAATAACTCAGCGAATTTTATATTATTTTTTTATTTTCATCTGCTTCTTTATTTTCTTGTTGTAATAATAACTTATAGCACATATACTTTCTCTTTATGTAGATAAATTGCAGATCTGTCGACCCTACAAACGAAGCACATCGTAACGTGTTTTTGTTCACTAAAATATTATGATTAATGAAAAAGTTCTGTATCTTCTCGGTAGAAGTATTTGGCTTTACGCGCTGCCTATTCTTTTAGATAGTATGCTAGACAAAACATTGGCCTGCAAGATACGTTTATTTCAAACAGCTTCTCACATGCTTTTAAGAAAGCTTTGTGCATTCTGTAGCATTTTTCAAAGCTGGATGCGTAGAATGTAGTATTTGTCTTTCGATACCTTCGAAAGAATCACGATGTAAGTACAACTTGATTCAATTTCTTCACATAAACAATCAAATAGGTGCTGTGGCTTGTTATCAATAATTTTTGCGCTTGAGTGTGTTTAGAGCACAAATCTAAAACAAGTCTTTTTTTGGGGAAACTTCAGTGGGTCCGGTACGTAGAAGAAAAAAACTCGTACACGTACGAGAAAGCAAACGATTTGTTGATCGATTTACGTTTCGGCCGTTGCGGGGCCTTTGTCAGAGAATGAGAAGTGAACAAGGCGTATGCCGCTTTTAAGGGACACTGATATCTTAAAAAAAAACAAAAAAAAACGTGAGAGGTTTCGAAAGAAATATCGGTGACATTATATTTTGATCTGGCACCTCATGTGACAAGATAAGTGCTTTAACTCGAAGTACATATGAACAGCAAGCAATCGCATTAGTCAAACATATAAACCAGTAAAACAATCAGTAGGCCACGAAAGAGACCCAAGAGATTAGGGTGACATGTGTGGCAAAACAAACACGATGCGCACCTATTTCGTTGTGGCACACATGAAAGTACTACAGGATCACCAAACAAATCTTTTACAATTCATTGTGGTCACTATACAAACAAAAGAACAGGTAATTTACTAAAAAATGCGGTAAAAAATGCGGTAAAAAAATTTTTTTTTCATGCAGGGTTGCATGAAAAAAAAAGTGTGTGTGACAGGAGTGGGAAGGCTAGCGTATGAATACGATAAACTTTGTTACCCAGAAAGAATATGGCATGTCCGATGCTTTCAATTATGCCAGTGTGAGGACTACTGAATTTACTGATGAGGTAGGATTTACGCATTTCTCGGTCGTAAAAAGTTTTAAATACAGACTGTAGTATGGTAACCTTGATGTTTGCAAGGGAGGTACCTGGCATGTGGACATGTTTTGATTGGGGATGATGAAGTAGGCTAGAAGCATGGGCTCTATGGTTGTGAAAGCGTTATCTGAATGATGTTTCGTTGTGATCGATGTATTGCTGGTGGCATGTGGAGCACTCAAGCATGTAGACAACATTGGCGCTGTCGCACGTGAAGTCTCCAATGATGCACATGGAAAAGCTTGAAGCGCTGCTAGTTATGCAGTGCGGAGTTGTCATGTGTGGGCACACCTTACAACGGGGTTTATTGCAAGGGTGACAGCCTACATAGTTCGATCCGCTGTTTATTTTGGACAAAGTTTATGTATCACGGAGCTTTCGCGATCAACGACAAACCACTCTGGTTGGTTCCGCAAATATGTCTTTTAGGTGGTCATTTTGAATTAAGATGTTGTGGTGTTCCTTGAGAATGGTGGTCACATTTGGAGCTGATACTGTGTGCTGAAATGAAATTCACGCTGTTACGTGAAGAACTTGCTGATGGTTCGTTACCCGTGAGCAAATCCTTGCGGTCGATGTTTTACGCCTTCTTGAAGGCGTCGTCATTGATTCTTGAGAGGTATTTTCGTGTGGAAAGTGCACCTCGGGGGTACTCGCAGATGAATTCATTCTTGTCGGAGCAGATGCGTTTAAAACGAATGGCCTGACTGTATCTAATGCTGGTTTTGTAGTGTTTTGTGTGGCTACATTGAAAATGAAGACATTGATGCTTGTCGGTCGGTTTCATGTACAACTTCGTCATCAAATTTTGATGGTGCAAGGTTACAATGACGTCAAGAAAATTGGCACTAACAGCTGAGTATGAATGCGAGAACGAGATTTTTGAATGAGCATTATTGAAACCCTCGATGAAAGAAAGATCGGATTAGCCTTGGAGCCATATTAAAAACATATCATCAATAAAACGTTTTTAGTAAAAAAGGCTTCAAGTCAATGCGTAAAAAAATTCGTTTGCTAGGAGGCTCATACAGATATTTGCGTAAATAGGACCAATACTAGTGCCCATACAAGTGCCACTAACATGGACGTAGTGTTGGCCATTGAACTCAAAATTGTTTAATTCGTGAATTAACTTCAGAAGCGTGACTAGTGCGGATAAATCAGTTGCTTTGTCGAGAATAGACTCGTTGTACGCGCGTACCACAGCCCTTATACCATCAGAATGCGGAATATTAGTGTACAAAAAGCAAACATCCAGAATCACCAAAAAAGAGCTGACAAAAAATATCTAAATCTTTGATATCGTTTAAAAAATCGTTCGTGTCTTTGATATATGAAGGAAATCGGGCGGGAATGGAACAAATATAGCTATGTTCTCAGCAATCGTACGGATTCTAGACACAATCGTTTTACCAGGATTCTTCGCTTTATGAATCTTAGGCAGGGTGTAAAATCTACCCACACCCGGGCACAGGGGAATAAGCGTACGTAACGCAGATTGAGCGATTTTGTTTTCTTTCACAAGGTCGGCCCCAAAATCACTGTCAGTGTATATGAATTGTTCTGTCGGGCCATTGCTAAAGCACCTGTAGTATGTCGTATCGTGAAGTTGTCTCTGGGTTTCAGTATAGTAGCTGTTAGCATCCATTCCCACAAATGTATATATATATATATATATATATATATATATATATATATATATATATATATATATATATATATATATATATATATATATATATATATATGAATAACTTCGGTTGCCGCCAGGTTATAAATATGAAAGTAGATGCGCTTTCACATAACAACTGTTTATTGTGCCGACGTTTCGACGGGAACCCCGTCTTTTTCAAGGCATAATACTATTTACACATGTTCCGTGTCTTCTTATAGCCTATTGAGACAGGAGGGAAGGGGTCAAAAGAGAGAGAGAGAGAGAAAGGAACAGCGAAACGGGAGGACAAACATTAAATAAAATATAGAAAATGTAGGAGAAGAAGCAAGACCGACACGGCGTAATTAGAAAGGGGCAGCATTTCAACAGAGTAGGGCAGAGGTAGATGAGCAATGTCATCATTGTCAACAATACCTCCCCCGCACCCACTCATCCCCAAGTGGGCAGGGAGCCGCCGTTCTTGTATTTCACCTTTCCGTGTAGACCGCTGGCGGCTCCTTCCTCTTTGAAGTGTATGACAAGTTAATGGGGAGGGCTTAAGCGCTTTGAGTGCGTGCTGGTGGCGTCGGGAGGAACGAAAAAGCCGGTGATTGAGGCACCGCCATCGATATTCATTATATGCATTGGCTCCTTGTCAGGGAAGGAACAGAATGTGCGTTAAAAATTAAAGAAGGAAAAAAAGAACAGGGGGGGGGGGGAGACTGTACGACATCCGGGACAGTGACCACACAGTTGCGGCTCACTGGGAAGACATGCGCGCATGTATGAAAAAGTTAACGAAACCACCTAGCTGTCAGCTCCTTGTCAGTGAAGGAACAGAATGTGCGTTGAAACTTAAAAAAGAAAAAAAAAGGGGGGGGGGGACCGTACGACATCCGGGACCACTTATGTGTGCGTTCCGGCTGTGCTTGATGAGTCAAATCATTTCTATGTTGTCAGATGCATAGGCCAAAAGCTTTGTTAGCGGGTAATATTATTGTCGTAATGAAACCGGACTGATTAGAGAGAAGCGTTTGCGTCTTTTAGCGGTCGTAACGCAGACAGAGTGCCCGGGTGTTCCTTTATTCTGTATTTTATCGTGTTAAATTTGTAGATAAAATAAGATTCCCGTTGTTCCCGTTCTCTGATTGTTCGAAAGTTGTTTTCTAGTAGTGTAACCCTGATGTCATCAAAGCTGTGGTCTTTTAATGTGCAGTGTTTTGAAAGTGGAAGGCCTGGCCGAGATCATACATGTGCCCGATGTTTGTTGAATCTAATTCTAAACGGAGTGTCTGTCTGGCCCACGTATTGCTTGTTACATACCCCACATTCCAGGAGGTATATGACGTTGTCTGAGTCACAGTCTAGTGCACCTCTTATCTTGTGCTTAAAATCCTAGTGGGTGCTTTTCGCCACAGTCGTTGTCTGCATGTGTTTGCATACCTTGCATCTGCTTTTTCCGCAAGGGTGACACACAATTTGAGGTTTCACACCTATCTTTGAATTTATTAAATGATCCTTTATATTTTTCGGCCGTCTGTATACAACACAAGGAGGAGAAGTGAAAATTTTGGATAGTCGCACGCTCTGTTCCAATATGTTAAAGTGTTTTCTTGGGACCTTGTTTATGTTCGGTGGGTTGCTCGTGAAAGTTAATAGCAAGTTTTTGTTGCGCTGTTGGTCGGCGTTTTTCTGGTGGTTGAGAAGAATCTGGCGGTCCAGATTTT